GTAGTAATAAATATAAAAAAAAAAACCTATTTTTATTACTTTATCTAATTTTAAAATGAATTCAGCTTAGGAATTCAGATTGTAGATGTTCAATTAGATGCAAGTAAGCATACTAATCAAGTAGATATTCATTAATATTAAGTCAACGTCTAGAATCTGATATTTATTTAGATGTCTCATGTATTAACAATACTTACGCTTACAAAATTATATTTGCTTGCAATTACGTTTGAGAAAATGTAAATGGAATGGCGACTCCGACAGTAAAAGATGATAGATGAAAATTAAAGGAAGTTAGTCTGTCGTGATAAATTCGACGAGAATTAACCAAGATAGTGTAAAGGGGGAACTTTGTGCTTTGTTGCTAGTAATGGCTCTGTTAAACCCTAATACTAACAATCCCTTTCCTCCCTGACTATAGAATGCATTAGTATTTTGTAATTTCATTTCCATGTTCTACTATTTTAACCGAAATACAGCAGGGGGAAAAAGCTTGTTAATAATAGGGATCTAACAGCCCCATTGCTAGCAATGTACTCTACCAGGTCTACTTCTACGCGGTTCTCCCTGGAAACCATCTTGATTAATTCTATATGAATTCGTAAATGGGTATTTACGAATTCATATAGAATAAGCCCATTTCACACTTTCCTAACATTACTTACTGGAGTCTCGCCAGCGTATACTCTTTAAAAAAACCAAAATGCAGCGGCGGAATAGAGTTTATTAGTTATGGGGTCTAATAACCCCATCATGGGGGGAAAGGGATTGTTAGTAATGGAGACTGAGAATCTCATTGCTAGCAATATACCCAACCAGGTCGACCTTCTCGCGGTTCTCCCTGGAAACTATCATAGTTAATTCCTGATGAATTCATCACGAAGGGCTAACTAGCCTGTTTTCATTCTCATCTATCACCCTTCACTGGTGCTCCGCCGGTGTATCCCGTTAGCGCTGGCGGGGTTACCATACGATTTTCACCCATAAAAAAAAATAACCCCATCATTAGCAATAGAGGGAGTATTGCAACAAGTCGACTATCACCATTATTGAATTCATCGTAGTTAGTGTCACGATGGGTCAACTGACGTTATCTTTACCCTATCATTGTATGATCCATCCCGTCAGCGTATACCAGAATAGCCTACGTGGCGTTAGCATACTATTTAATGTATGCAATGTATTGTAATGTATTAAAAATTACTTAAAATATAAACCATAATTTTATATGATAATTTGACGTAGAGAATATTGTAATTTGGAAAATGTTTGGACTTTATAATTGTAATATAATGTAGACTTGAAACCATTTTAACATTTGCATAGCTCTACGGGGTGCTGCATGTTATGTACCTACTTGTATATGTAACTTCTTATTGTACCATGTAGCAAGCGAATAAATATGATTTGATTTAAAAAATAAAACGAACAGCCATGAAAGCGCAGCTACTTTTTTAAGAAACGCTGATCACATATTGTAAAAATTATACTTCCTAAAATCATGTAAGAATTAATTATTAAATACATATTCGAATAATAGTCGTGTTTTCATTACATTACATTTTATTTACAGTTGCCAAATTGTTTAGAATTATATCAAAATCATACATGAAACCTGTTACAACATGAGATACTCGTATAACAGATTCTCTGAAGTCTATTTATTTAGATACCGTCTTCAATAAATAAGTAACGCGCTGTTGGTAATAAGGAAACAGATTCGGCCGTTACGAATGTATTTTGGACTACACCCAGCGTTGCTAGATTTGATATTTTAATTCAGCCCAAATGTTGAATAATTTATCTGTAAATTGATGCAATTTTCTTCTGTTTCACCTAATTACAAACTTTTGGCGGTTTCCACTACGTATTGTCATGTAATCACTATTTGAACCTTAGAATAAGTATGTGATAAATCTATGATACGAACGACAAAAAAAAAAACGCTCTTCTCTTTGCCGAACTTCACCTGACGCTGCTACCTTTAATGATATATTTATTTTATTAATTTATATATTACCTATACGATTTACAAATATCGAAAGCTGTCATAAAAAAAAACAACATAATTTCTCCACGCCGATTTTATTTTTCTTTATAATATTTCTCCAACGTTACACAAAATTACACGAACACGACTGGGAGAGAATGTTTTTAGCATTAAGTCCGCCATGTACACATATTTGTACTATTGAATAAATAAATAAATAAATAAACGCGGAAATTTTTAACCAAAATAGCGAAAAGTTTTCCAATCTGGCAACGCTCACTACACCTGATTTGTGTCTATGATTCACACGTATTTTTAGCTCTATATCCATTTGCTTTCAAAGTACTGATGACTCTTCGGACAATTATGAGTAGCTATGTATATATTATGTCAATATTATTAATGAACAAGTAGGTAGGTGGATAATGCCTCGCAAAAAGAAGACGTCTTTTTTGACAAAATCAATATTGACTTACTGGTCTATTATTATTTAAAAATAAGACAATAGAATAAGAATAGAATAGAAACATTTATTGCCTGTAAACATACAATTACAATATAAAATATAAATAACATATACAAAAAGTGTCCCATACTAAGCAGAAGGAACCGGCTCAGCTGATGAGCAATGTGAACAGCTGCACAGCGCTGGTTATCAGCCAGTCCCTCTCTTAACAAAACATAACTAAAGTGCAATAGACATGTTTTATAGACACATACAAATTTAAAATATTTCAATTCAAAATGTAGAATTGAGTAAATAATGATTTTGGTTTACTAAGAAAAATACCTGGCTGTTTCAAAAGGGACGTTACTTTTGAAGGGTCCCTCGATTGTACACTCTCATCTGATCGAAAGGGACGATGTGATCTAAGATGGAGCTCGTGAGTCCACAAATAGCCTATTCACATTTGCCTTAAATCGGTTCAAATTGTATGTAGTTGGAAAAACTAGAAAGCGGGGATTTTTTTTTAATTTTTTTTACAACACAGGAGGCAGTGACTACCGCCGCCCATGATCACCCACAACACCAGCGGCATTGCAGGTGTGCTGCCGGCCTTTTAAAAAGGAATATGCTCTTTTCTTGAAGGTTATGATGTCGTATCGGTTCGGAAATACTGCTGCTGGAAGTTGATTCCAAACCAAACCAAACCGAACCAAAGAGTAATTTCCACTCCTTGACTGTACGTATGATTGTAAGAACGCAGAAGAAGACGCAGAACGCCTCGTGCGAAAGAAAGAAGAAAGAAAGAAATATTTTTATGCAACTAAACATAGATTTAAGCATTTTTGTATAGTCATTTTTTCATTACCAACGTTTTTTCATTACATTCGGAACGCAGTTTCAGTCAAGAAGAACAGTCAAGAAACTCAACTGTTGCTCTTTATAAATAGTATGTCTACGACATACGACATGTTTACAATTAAATTCATATGGGATTAATACGGGAGTAAGGTTTATTGAATACAAAAACGATTATCAGAATCGTTTCAGGTCTAGTGTTAAGTATATTACATTTCTTATACACAGAGAAAAGAATCCAGACGATTTGGAAACCTATAAGACCTGTGGGGTTATTATTGAAATAAATTCCAATAGAAAGATATTGGAATTGAGACGTTTCAGACTATCGAATTGCAATACAAGCGACATAATGGTTCTGATACTGTTTTGATAAATAGATGCATATTAGTGCAACTTGCCAATGCAAACTATTGCAAATCGATCACAATTTTAACTTAATTCCTATTTGTTATTTCAAGAGTGCAGTACAAAATTGTTAGGTTAGATTCAAGAGTAGGGCCGCTGTTCTACTTCGAAGTAACTCAACAAGAAATCATATAGTCTGTAAAGAAAAACAAAAAACGTAGAAAAAAAGAAAAAAAAAAACTATCAAAAATAGAAATGTTGAAAGCTGTACAGCTTTGTTCCTTTGCCTTTCCCATTGTGGATAAATTGATACTTTTATTAATAGAAATGTAGGATAATTTTTAACATCTTCTGTTTCCTATCATGTTTATTTTAAACTCTTTGCATGTGTTTGTTTCATAATGATGTGTAATGTTTAGTTTTTTTAGATTTCCTAAAGTAGGAGCTTTTTAATTCGTTTGAATTTTTGTATGTATTTTTTTTATACAACTTAGAATGGCAAACAAGCTGACGGCCCACCCGATGGAAAGTGATAACCGTCGCCTATAAACATGAGCAGTACCATGGACATAAAAGAGTATACTGTTTCGCTCATGATACCCCCCATGCGTTGCCATTCCTGAGGACTCAGGTGTTATTCCTCTGTACCCAGTAAATTCACTGCCATATCCCACCCTTTAAACCGAAACACAGCCATGCAAACACAATCGCTTCAAGGTAGAAATACGAATGGGGTAGAGGTACCCAAGCAATCGACTTTTGTACAAAGTCTCCCTCTGGTAAAATTAAAATACAATGATATAAAGTTATAATTGTCAATGTTGTATGATTTTATGCTTTATGAACACGTGAATAAACTAGCGGCCGTCGTGTCTGTGATAAGTATTATTAGTACACACAGATACCCTTTGCCATTTCGTTATAATCATATGTAGATAGTATATATTTACGCGTACTTAGGCATATGTCTATTTATGTAGCGCTTCTGCTCTGCAGCCTGAACCAATGAGCGATAAACAAACATCGAGTGGAAAATTACTTTTATTGTAATAGATTTATTACTTCTGCTTTATTCGCTTGAAGATAACCTTATATTATAGATAGATAGATAGATAGATACTCTTTATTGTTTCCTCCAAAAGATTACAATAGTAAACTTATTAATAAATATAAACAATTACAAGAAATAATCACAATGAGAAAACAACGGGCGACCTTATCGCTAAAAGCGATCTCTTCCAGGCAACCTTTGGATGGAGAGGAGTAATTATAAACAGTTTGATTGGAAGTTTTAAGATGACAACCAATTAAAATGTAAAAAGTGGATAAAAAATTCATAAGAGTTATCTTTGTTCGCAGGTGACAATATGGGTCCTAGTTGTGTATTTAACGCTACATTTACCCACCATCGAGATGAGGGTAGACGATTTGGAGCAACCAGCACCTAGACAGGTAAATTACAATCCGGATTGTGAAATGTTATTTTACAAAGTTTTATTTATTTTGCAATGCAAATTATTAGTTCGTTTAGGTTAAATTTTGTAAGCCGAATTCTACTTCCTCTTAACTGTTTTTTTTTTGCTGAAAAATTGCCTCACCTTTAGTACAGACGATACTATAATTTTTAATAAATTACAATAGTTGGCACATATAGTGATTCATGTGTAAAATATTAATAACAAGACTTTAAAAAAATACTTAAAAATAAAAAAATAAAAAAAACTTTGAGGCTACTGCGAACTGGTAGGGGTACCTAGTACTTGGTGCATTTCCACGCTGAATGGCTATGAAGATTAGATATATATATGGAGAGAGAGTCATGGAGACGAAGTCGCGGATAAAGTAGTATTGCTTTATTTTTCCTCTATTTAATAATGCACCACTTACGTATTTCTCGGTTTGCTTAATGGTTGACTGGTAGAGAACACCGTCCGGTGTTAAGTCCACCAAATGTACATAGAATTTTACTATGCATTAAAGTTTAAATAAATAATTAAAAGCTAGTATGAAATAATATTGTAATCTTTTCAAAATGGCCACTACTACAAGATGGCGGATTGTATATATTTTGTTAATCATTATCTTCCTATCCTTATCCCAATTATTATTTGTGGTTGGCCTAATATGTTTTTTATCCATATTACAAAAAGATTTGGCTTATAGTTTTACAACCGGCCGCCTGCCTGACGTCAACTCTCTTTGGGAATATGGGTGTCAAATGAAAATTGGCTTGAATGCGACCTGTGTGGTTACTCTTGGAATAAATTCCAATAAATCGGTATTGGAATTAAAACGTTTTATACTATCGACTTGCAACACTAGCGACACAACGGTTCCATATTGTTCTGATAGATGCATATTAGTGCAACTTGCCAATGCAAACTATTGTAAACCGATCCCAATTATAACCGAATTCCTAACTGTTGTTTCATGTGTGCAGTATAAAATTGTTTCTGGCAATAGATTGGATTGACATCGGTATTAAATTCAAGAGTAGGGCTGCTGTACATCATCCTTATTATCCACTTAAAATTCTGTGTTCCAGCATCAACCACCAGCGTCCACGCAGAAGCCAGAGCCGGCGAACCAGTCAAACCTGAACTTGGGCAAATGTTTCCACATGCCACGCTCCCAGTGTCCTCCTGAGCGTGGTACATGCGCCAAGGTCAGCGCCGCCTCCGTCTTCTGCTGCGATCTGGACAGCGTCAGCTTGAAGGAGGCATTGTCCAACACAAGTAAGATAATGTTGCCAGACGCGATTTCTTATTTTTAAACAAATTTCTAAGAATTTTTTTTTTGATTCTTTATTTTTTCTCTCAATTGATTCGATTTCTTGTTTTGAAAATGAATTTTGACTGTTATAAATATTTCCAGCAATTTTTGGTTATCGCAAATTGTTTGCATGATACGTAATCAGGGGATTGGCTGTAAAATGCCAAAACTTGACATTTTATGGTGGCCATGGGTATTTATTTTATTCTGTCGTCATGTAACACTCCCACGGCTATTTAACCACACCCGATGTGGTGTCGTCATCCATGTTTGTTAATGCACGTTAACAATATACGAGTGTGTACGTTTATGTGTGTGTGTGTGTTTTTTTTTATACAACTTAGAATGGCAAACAAACTGACGGCCCACCTGATGGAAAGTGGTAGCCGTCGCCTATAGACATGAGCAGTACCATGGACATAACAGAGTATACTGTTTCGCCCATAATACTGTTCCCCCCATGCGTTGTCATTCCTGAGGACTCAGATGTTATTCCTCTGTACCCTGTAAATTCACTGCCATATCCCACCCTTCAAACCGAAACACAGCCATGCAAACACAACTGCTACACAAAATTGTAACCAGTCGGTAGCTGTGCAAAGGAGATATTATATAAATAATATGAATTATATATCCCATATGAAAGAAATGTTAGTGACCTTGTACGGGCAAACGTAGTGTAGGACGACCCTGTACTAGACGAAGTGGCGACCTCATATGCATTGCAGCAAGTCAGCAGATGCAGGTGGCTCAGGGCCGTTCCTTATGGCAGTCTATGGGGGAAGTCTATGTTCAGCAGTGGACGGATAATGGCGGATGATGATGAAGATATACCCCATATTGATATAAGCAATTCAAAACTATATATTTTTTTAAATAATCTATTTGTCTGTCTATTTGTTCCGGTATCATGCAAAGACTACTTATTGCATCAAACTCAATGCGATTTCTATAGTTATGTTGTTTTTTTTTTAACGGATGACAATGGAATAGTAACCCCGCCTGCGCTAACGGTATACGCTGACGGGGCCTTAGTAAAGAATGATAAGTGAAAATGAAAGGGCAGGTCACTTAGCTTATGTGATAAATGCACCTGGAATTAAGCACGATGTTTTCCATGGATCCATGATTCCATCACTGGCGGAGCACCAGTGATAGATGACAGGTGAGGATGAAAGCAAATCAGTTGGCACATCGTGACGAATTCCACAAAAAATAACAACGACGGTGTCTAGGGGGAGCCGCATATTGCTAGCAACTGGTAGTCCACATGACTGAAAATCCCCTCCCCTTCCTATGATGTCCTTGTGATAGAACGAAACGGTACAATATATTTAGAACCACTGGGTTTTTTACTATTATTTATTCTGTGACTGGGCTAACACGATTTCCTTAATTTTTTTATATGTCTATCTAATAGGAAGTCTAATTTCGACCACTCGAATGGCTACACTGTAATAATTTGAGCTCCTCATACTATGAGACGTTATATAAGGCTGGGGTCATGGTAATCTGGTAGATGCGAAGTAAATAAGCCTCTGCTATGTAGGTTTTAGGGTCGAGTTTATTAATAAATGAGAATAACACGTAAACAAATTAACGGTCATTTGCCAGCATCTAATAATAATGCACATAAATGGATATTTAAACAACATATGGGTATAATGCGCGTTGTGTAACATGCTTGCATATGCAGGTACTGTATGCATTTGTAATGCATTCCTGAGCGGCGCACGCGCAGTTGATAAGCCGCGTTGCGTACTCGCCATGCATAGACTAATTAAATTCCAGACAGAAGAGAATTTTTCCAAGACGTGTTTTTAATTTCAATTAGAAATTGTACGTATGGTTGGTATGGTGTAGTCACTTTGATCTCGGATTGGAATTGAAACACGAATAGGACAGAGCTACCCAAGCAAACGATTTTTGTACAAAATCTCCCTCTGGTCTTGTCTTTGTCTTTTATAGTTAATAGAAAAGCATTGCTTATATAGTACCAAAAATAGATTTGATATATATGTGCATATATACGTCATACATTATTGCAATATTGAAACTTGTTGATTTTTGCAAAATATTTGCAAAATTTTCACCGGAAACTGTAGAGAAATATACAATCTTATTTCTAATAAAACCTTTAAAAAAAAAACAGTTCTGGCGTTTGTTTACATAATTACGTCCGTGCGGCGCCGGGCCGGGTCGTAATTACTGACAAATGGGCCAATGTTTTCTCACGCCGTCAAATGTGTATGCGTATAAATATTTATATAATACGGCTGTGCGGACCAGACGAGGGTCAGACGAGTCGCGCCCGCCTCTGCGAGCCGCGTACTCTATGACATCTCGTAAATCACGGTGCGCGCGCGCACGCCGCTCGACAGCGCCAGGAGTCGCAAACACGCTACCGAGTTCAATAAATTTATCTGTTTATTCCCAACGAAAATATTCCGGTCTCGTTTTATTTTTAAGCGGCATTTTATTATACTTGTCGTTGAATCTATTTCTAATTTAAACCCGGACGGACCACACAATCGCCGATTGCTTTATTTCTGTACAACCGCTTTCTATTCGTTTGGATATATATATTTTTTAAATTCTTTGATGGAAAACGGTACCGTCGCCTATAGGAATGTACAGCGCCGTGAGCTGTATTATTGTCTATCACATTTCAAAATATCCATATGTATTCGTACATATATGTATATTTTATTTATTTATTAAGACATATTAACAATATATGTAATCCATAAAAAAATTATACAAAATGAGATCAAACAACATTTACAATTTAACTGACGTATTTTAACTGCTAACAATAAATCAATTGAACATCTCTGTAAATTATTGATGCCCATTTTTTATAGACACGGAAAGAGAGAACTCTTTCCGTGTCTATGGAAAGTAGATAAAACTTTATTTGAGAAATCAGTTCAAGCTACGATAGGGCTGATATACCTGAAGAAGGTAAATGCCCTTAAAATAATAAAGACAATATGTCTCTATATTTTATCTTTTACAAAAAAAATCCATTAAGTAAATAGGAAAAATAATTTGTATTAAAAAAGAAAAAGAAAAATATGTTTATCTTTACATGTATATGTAATATGTTTATTTATTTATGTTTATTATGTAACCTGATGATTTGGGGTTAGTGATTTTCTGTCACAATACGACCCATCGGCACAGAGAGGTACTTTATTAGGTAACTATCGGAATCTTTTTTGCTAGTCTATGATCAACTTGTAATTTTTAGTACGTAACTTGTTCTTTGGCACTAGGTTCCCTCTAGTTATCTTTTAAGGGACTTGACATTAAGTTCTTATCTATGTGGTTAACGTCAGTGGACAATTGGTAACAATAAATTAAATTTAAAAGACTTATGTTAATCAACTTATTATTTTGAGCATAATTTGCACTTTAAATAATATTCATAAATTCATATTATAAATATAAATAAATAATTGTTTTGAAAAAAATATTCTAAAGAAGAAAAGGTGATGAGAAAGCTTCAGTTTATCTAGTATGCAACAACGCCATCTAGTTCCAAACTAAGCAAATTAATAAATATTGTTTTTTGTATGCAACTTAGAATGGAAAACAAGCTGACGGCCCACCTGATGGAATGAGGTATAGACATGAGCAGTACCATAGACATAACAGAGTATACTGTTTCGCCCATGATACGCCCCATGCGTTGCCATTCCTAAGGACTCAGGTGTTATTCCTCTGTACCCTGTAAATTAACTGCCATATCCCACCCTTCAAACCGAAACACAGCCATGCAAACACAACTGCTTCACTGTTGAAACATGAATGAGACAGAAGTGCACAAGCAAACGACTTTTGTACAAAGTCTTCCTCTGGTGAATACTGTTATTTATGTATGATGACAAAGTATCTTATAGGAAAGAAATTTTTAGCATGAACGGAAAATGTCTGGTATTATGTTTTTTTTTCTTTTTCATTTAAGAGTTTCCTCTTGTCGGTGTAACTAATTCATGCATCCTCCTCCAGCCAGCTCATAGCCCAGGCCATATCCTTGACCTCCCTATACGACATGACACCTAGTGTTTCTTTTATCTGTCCCATGTAGACCAAGGAATTATGATGCAACTATTAAAAGCTATGCATAGATAAGCCATTAGGTGACAACTCACACACTAGTATGTACTAAAAAATTAACTTAAAGCTCAACTTTAACTTATAAATCTTCCCGTTTTTATCACAGTCCCAATTTTATAAATAAAATCATGTTACATTGTGACAGCAAGTGGAAAAAGTAGGTGCTAAATGTTCATAATTATACCATCAAAATGTAACGCTCTTTTATTTGTAAAATTGGTTTTATTTACAATTGCTTTTATTTACAAAATTTAGAGAGACAAGAAGAAAAAAAAATCTATCCTTCATCGGTACAGCCATAATATAATATATACGTACGCATTTATTAACCAATATTTACTCAGTATAAATAGTTGCGTGATATCGCCATGTTTTTTTAAACACATCGCTTTACGTAACTTTGTAAATATTTGTTTGTATGACAGCCAGTAATCATATAGCGACACGCACGACGCGAAACCAATATTACTAATCTACACTAATATTATAAAGGGGAAAGATTTGTATTTTTGTGTATATACACATATGTTTGTAATGAATAAACTCAAAAACTACATTGCCGATTTCAAAAATTCTTTCACCATTAGAAAGCTACATTCACCCTGAGTAACATAGGCTATGTTTATTGCTAGAGATCCTTACTAAAACTTTAGTAACGTAACTAGGCCCCTACCAACCCATCTCATGAAGAGCCTGACGACCTTGATTAATTCATTGAAAATCCGTATATACAAAGTAGCGGGAAACAAGCTAGAAGTTTTATGAAACGAGTATAAAAATATTACCCATTTTTAAATACAAAATATCTAATTAAAAACATAAAATGTAAAAAATGCAAAAGCACTTCTTACACTGCAATAAAAAATAAACAAAAACAACAAATTTATAAAGAAAATAAAAAGAGAAAATAAAACCTCTGATGGTATAAAAATAAAATAATGCAAACTTTATAAGGTCATTGCTCTGTTACATTTATCACTGAACAATTTAACATTATCATATTTATCATTATTTATCGGAATTAGATTTGCAGTAAATTGAGTGCATCAGATGCTTAACGTTTTTCTTATCTTTTTAAAATAATGTATATATATATATATATATATATATATATATATATATATATATATATATATATATATATATATATATATATATAAAATAAGTTAAGGGCGTAGGCAGTACGATTATTAAATTTTTTATACGACTTAGAATGGCAAACAAGCTGTCGGCCCGTCTGATGGAAAGTAGTAACCGTCGCCTATAGACATGAGGAATACCATAGACATAACAGAGTATACTGTTTCGCCCATGATACCCCCCATGCGTTGCCATTCCTGAAGACTCAGGTGTTATTCCTCTGTACCCGGTAAATTCACGCCATATCCCACCCTTCAAACTGAAACACAGCCATGCAAACACAACTGTTTCACGGTAGAAACACGAATGGGACAGAGGTGCTCAAGCAATCGACTTTTGTACAAAGTCTCCCTCTGGAAGTTTGTTTGATCTGATATATTTACTTAAAATTAAGAAAGGCAGTAACAAATAGCTATTTGGAGTTATTGTTCTTATATATATATTCTTTATTGCACTTGTAAGTTACATATAAAATAATCTATTTATAAATGTTGTGAGCAAGGGTGGACTTATCTCTGACAGAGATCTCTTCCAGTCAACCCGATACAGTGAGAAAGCATTTCGTTAGCGGGCAGCTGGAGTGCTACAACTATTAATACATAAACAAATATACAGTTAAATAAAATATTAAAATATATAATAAAATATTACATAGATACATACACTATAAATACATATAATACCTACCTACTTATATAATAAATGTTAAAATAAATGAATATACTACTTACAATGTCAAATAGAAATTTCCTTTTTGACAGTTCAATTAGAAAAATACAAAAAAAAAAAAAATATTACTCAAGGGAAAGAAAATGCGATTTCAACCTCTTCTTGAAAGAGGTAATAGAGGGACTCTCCTTTCTCTCTCTTATCATCACCGTGTCAACGTCACCGTCTCAACATAGAATGGGCTATCCCTTCCATCCCCGTGGGTGTTGTAAGAGGCGACTAAGAGAACTTAACAATCTAGGGATAGGCAGCAGCGTCCATCTTAAAACCACTCCAAGGTCGAACTGTGGTTGCCAATCTGCCTGCCAAGCGTGGCAACTACTGGCAAAACCCCACAAGGACAAGGCTTAAGTCCAGCAGTGGACAGTTAAAGGCTGATATGATAATATATGATGCATATGTTGTAATTGTTATAACAAGCTTTTATTGTTCTTTTTAAACTTTTTAAACTGAATATTTTAGTAAAAAATAATAATAGTTAATTTTTATAATCGACAATAAGTTTACATCTTTTTCTTCTATTTAAATTTTTTTTTGTGTCTATTTTTATCCATCTTATGTTATTATTATTTCTGTCCACTTCTCGTCCACTACTTATGTTGTCAGTCTAATAATCCTTTTGGACCTTTCTACTAATTAATAAAGCGATTACCAGTTTGGTTTAATTTTTTTTTTTTTTTGCATTTCATAGCTAATTTTTGAGGAAGGTTTAAAGGTTTTACAACATCACAATCGCATGTGAAACCGCTGGGCATTGCTAGTGGTTTATAAGTGACGAGGATTAAGGTATCTATTTAGGTAAAACGAGATCATTTGCTCGAGTCATTTGGACGTTTATATAGGAAATATATTATAAAACTAGCTGACCCCGTAAACGTTGTTTTACCACTTATTGCGAAATATAAAAATCACGATTAAAATACAGGGGTTGATCGTGAAACGATGAAAATTTAAAGTTGTATGTATTTTTCAATGCTAAATCATATTAAAATAAAAATAAAAAAAAAATTGTCAAAAAAATAAAAAAAAATTTTTTAGGGGTGGGTCACCCTTATCATTGAGGGGTATTAAAAATAGATGTTGGCCGATTCTCAGACCTATCCGATATGCACACAAAATTTCATGAAAATTTGTTATGCCGTTTCGGAGGAGTTTGGTAACAAACACCGCGACACGAGAATTTTATATATTAGATTAATATAGTATAATAATTATATACGGACAAAATCACACAGATTGAGCTAGCCCCAAAGTAAGTTCGAGACTTGTGTTATGGGATACTAACTCAACGGTACTATATTTATAATAGATACATATATAGGTAAACATCCAAGACGCAGGCCAATCAGGAAAAGATCGTTTTCCATCATGACCTGGCCGGGGATCGAACCCGGGGCCTCCACGTCGCAGGCAGGCGTGTTGACCGCTGCGCCACGGAGGACGACATATGTATAAATATATATAAATGACAGAATATGTATAAATATAGAATATGTATAAATAAATTGTACCGCAGGTTGTCAACACATGCGCCTTTGTTCTACGTGTAATCACTTCATTTTGACAGCAGCCCAGTTGAGCCGAACGGCCCCGCGCCCGATCCCATCTCTGCGCGTACATTATAATTAACATGAATTACGGAGCCCTTCTCAATTGAATTTTTTTATACAATTTAGAATGGCAAACGTGCTGACGGCCCACCTGATGGAAAGTGGTAACCGTCGCCTATAGACATGAGCAGTACCATGGACATAACAGAGTATACTGTTTCGCCCATGATACCCCCCATGCGTTGCCATTCCTGAGGACTCAGGTGTTATTCCTCTGTACGCAGTAAATTCACGCCATATCCCACCCTTCAAACCGAAACACAGCCATGCAAACACAACTGCTTCACGGTAGAAACACGAATGGGACAGGACGTTTGTACAAAGTCTCCCTCTGGTAAATACCTAATTTACTAGTAAATTAAGTATTCTCAGTAGTACTCAGGTGGACCGTCAGCTTGTTTGCAATTCTAAGTTGTATAAAAATAAAGTATTAAAATACCAAATTAATTGTCATTAGCAAATTAATACCTGTAGATGTAATGTAATAAATAAACCTACATCAGTTGTTAAATAGAAAAATTAAAGGTTTTACCACGATTACAGTCGTTTTTTTGGTGAAACACAATCTTAACTTATTTGAAGTCGGTTAAAACACTGACGATGTCTCACAATTGTTGCAGTGACGCAGAACACGACGCACCTGCACGTGCTGAACGCGACCATCGATGAGCTGGACGTGTCGCAGGCGGTGTTCCGACGGCTGGTGTCCATGGCGCTCACCGACGGCGACATAGGCAAGATCGTCGGTCAGTACTTACTACATGTTTTTATTTCAATGGATGATAATGGAATGGTAACCCCGTCCGCGCTATCGGTATACACCGGCGGGGCACCAGTGAAGGATGATAGGTGAGGATGAAGCAGGTCAGTTAGCCCATCGTGACGAATTCAACAAGAATTGTTCTTGATGGTTTCCAGGGGGAACCACTATTGCTAGCAATGGGGCTGTCAAACTCCATTGCTAACAATCCCTTTCTCCCCACTTACTACATGTTGGGCATAAGCAATATAGCGGTACCTCGACATACGAGTTTAATTCGTTTCGTATACTTATGCCCGTATGACAAATATCTCAAAGCAATTTTCCCCATTGAAATCCTAACATTTATATGGGCAGAGAGGGGATGAGGTGGTGGGGGGGTTGGTAACCTCATCAGATGCATTGCGTCTTGTGTATCTTTGTTTCTATATTTCCATACTTATTTTTACTTAAATATTTTTGGCATGCCCTCCAGCGACGGAACCAATGGGAGATCAAATAAATTTCACCAGTGAGTAACTTAACTTAATATCAATACTGACATGTTTTTTGGTGTCTTCAGTTATTAGTATTTGTATAAAATGATAACTATACAAAAATGAGAGTACTGTTATTTAGGCTATTATAATAGAAATAAATGAAAAAGTAACCAAGTTTGATTGGAATTATGATAGAAATAGAAGGGAGACTTTGTACAAAAGTCTATTGCTCGGGTACCTCTGGCCCATTCGTGTTTCAACCGTGAAGCAGTTGTGTTTCGGTTTGAAGGGTGGGATATGGCGTGAATTTACAGGGTACAGAGGAATAACATCTGAGTCCTCAGGAATGGCAACGCGTGGGGGGTATCATGGGCGAAACAGTATACTCTATTATGTCTATGATACTGCTCATATCTACTACTACTTTCCATCAGGTGAGCCGTCAGCTTGTTTGCCATTCTAAGTTGTATAAAAAAAAAGAAATACTCTTTCTAAATAAAATTTGTGACTTATTGAAATATTTAATAGTTTTTTAATAGTTAATAAACGTAACTACTTTTTTATGTTTTGTTTTTAATTTTCTAAGGTTTGATTGAATGACATTGATTTGGTTTTTACTGTAATAATGTTATAATTATTTTATTGAATAAATAGATAAATAATAAATTCTATTTTATAAATAATGTACACGAATTTCTGCGTGTTCATGATATTGTACCGTTTAGCAAATGCATTCTGTAAAAGACTACAAGTGACACCGAAAAACCAGTGTTTTGTCCAGCAGGGTAAAGCACTGAGTTGTGACCTTTTTACATTGCCACGACACACACACGTATGATTTTTCCCATAATGTTGTTATGGAAATTATTATTTCTCAAACATGCTTGGAAATGTGAGCATTATTTTGACAATCTTCTTCGAGATAAATCAAAATTGCCGTACTGGCCAGATACATGCAGGCAGCGGCCGGCAAAAGTTGTATGAAAATCCATATCTGTCGTGTTTTGCGGCCAGATAAATTACTATGTGAACTCATATCTGTCCTGTAATTTAAAAATGTGTGCCTCGGCTACGCCTCGGCCCTCATTTGCACGTTCGTCCATCAATGCCTCAGTTGCTGGCCGCTGCAGTAATGCACTATATCTTTGTTTTTCTTCTAAAATTTTTATTCTTTTTCATGATGATGATTATTTTATTTACATTTATTGTTAGATATTGGTGGACTATCTAATGTAAGTTACATAAGTTCTATTGAAACAGCATTTGTACAAATTTCAGACTTTTTTTTTACTATAGTTATACTCCGTCATGAGAATAATTATAGGTATTATTTTAACGTTTACGTCCGAAATCAATTAGGCCACAGATAATCATGGCGTGTGTGCTGTCAGCCAGTAAATGTATCAAATTGTACTTTGAAAATAAATGTTTTTTTTTTATTTATTTTTTTTATTGACACATAAAACAGATCACAACCATAAAAAACTTGAATAATAGTTACATTTGTGATTCGGCTAGGTTATAATAATAATAATTTTTCTACACAGGTCAGTTTCCCAAGTACTCGTCACTGGCGTGCCTGAACATCTCCAATAACAATTTGACTAGTTCGAAGCTGCAGCCGTCCATCCAGCGTCCGTTCGCCTATCTCTTCAACCTGAGGGTGCTGGACGCTTCGGGGAACAACCTCACAGAGTTCCCGCTCAGTCTAGTGCATAGTAACAGGAATATTTCTGTTGATTTGTCAGGTAAATTTCCAGGAATAAAAGTGTTGACACTAAGTCGTTATGGTTGTACTTTTTTTCATACAATATATTGTGGTATATACATAATATACATACGGTATGCCTGATGGTGAATGGATTTATATAACTTATAATGTCAAACGAGCTGACGGACTCACCTGATGTGAAATGCCGAATAGTTTCTTTTTATGGGTGAAAATGGTACGGTAACCCCGCCTGCACTAACGGGATACGCTGGCGGAGCACCAGTGAAGGGTGATAGATGAGGATGAAAGCAGGTCAGTTAGCCCATTGTGACGAACTCCACTAGAATTAATCACAATGGTTTCCAAAGGGAATCACGTGGAGGTCGATCTGATAGGGTGTATTGCTAGCAATGGGTCAATTAGAGTCTATTACTAACAATCCCTTTTCGCCGTATGAAAATGGTTTGGTAACCCTGCCTGTCCTATTGGTTTACGCTGGCGAAGCACCAGTGAAGGATGATAAGTGAGGATGAAGCAGATCCTTTGTGTTATAATGGCCCTGTTAGATCTCATGACTAACAATCCCTTTCCCTCCAAATAACATATGTTAAGACCACTGTCTGAACTTAACAGATGAGACCGAATCAAAACTTGATGGTTGCTATTTCCAGGAAATAAGTATCTCCCGTGCAAGCACTTCCAGAAAGCGATGTATGAGACCAACAACAGTTCCCTGGTGACATTCCTCAACTACAATCAGACTTACTGCGCGCTCGATCTGGAGTTCAACTGGTTTAAAGATGTGCAGATTGTTCAAATCGATCATCTTCGGGTGCAGAAAGAGGTTGGTGACCAATTTATGATGTACATGTACAGAGGAATAACACGTTCCTCAGGAATGGCAACGCATGGGGGGGTACCACGGGTGAAACAGTATACTCTGTTATGTCCATGGTACTGCTCATGTCTATAGGCGACGGTTACCACTTTCCATCAGGTGGGCCGTCAGCTTGTTTGCCATTCTAAGTTGTATAAAAAAAACACGCTCACAAATAATTGGGATGAGGGTAGGGAGATAGTGATGATGATGATGGGCGGAGGGAGATATAGATATATGTTTTTTTAATGGATGATAATAGAATGGTAATCCCGCCTGCGCTATCGGTATACGCTGGCGGGGCACCAGTGAAGGATGATAGGTGACGATGAAAGCAGGTCAGTTAGCCCATTGCAACGTATTCTACTAGAATTAACCACGATGGCTTTTAGGGAAAACCGCGTGGATGTCGATCTGATAGGGTGTATTGCTAGCAATGGGTTAGTTAGACCCCATTACTAACAATTTTTTTGTCCCCACATAAACCTGTTAGGATATATTACTAGGAACGGGGAAGAACCTTGTTACTAAAAACCCTTCCCATTCTGGTGGGAGGTATTATGTATAGATAGCGTTATTGCGGTCTTCGGCACAATGAAAGCCATTGGATGCTCTAGTCAGCTAGTCTTAGATAAAAATCTTAATTTTCAGCTAAACGCAAGCTGCCGCAGAATGGAGCCCGAGAACATCAACTGTACCTGCATATTGGAGCGACTAGAGCTGGTGGGCGAGGAAGTGATCAACCTGGTCGCTGTGGATTGCTCACAGCGCCACCTGAAGAATATGCCCACCAATTTGCCCCCTAATACTGTTAAGCTGAATGTATCGTATAATAATGTAAGTGGATTTTTTTTATAAGTATACCTATCTCACACTATCGCAGAACCTTGCAACACACACGCACACATATAGACATTTTTGACCTGTGGGGTCACACTTGAAATAAATTCCAATAGATCGATTTTTTTTGTAATGGATGATAATGGAATAGTAATCCCACCCGCACTATCGGTATACACCGGCGGGACACCAGTGAAGAATGATAGGTGAGGATGAAGTAGGTCAGTTAGCCCATCGTGACGAATTCAACAAGAATTGTTGACGATGGTTTCCAGGGGGAACCACGTGGAGGTCGACCTAATAAGGTATATTGCTAGCAATGGGGCTGTCAAACTCCATTGCTGACAATCCTTTTCCCCCCAATAGATCGATATTAGAATTGAAAAGTTTGGCACTCTTGAGTTGCGACACTAGCAACTGTTTATATTGTAATCTTTTGGAGGAAACAATAAAGAGTATCTATCTATCTATCTATCTATTGTTCTAATAGGTACATATTAGTATAATTTGTTAATACAAACTATTGCATATCGATCCTAATTCTAACCTAATTTCTAACTTTTTTTTATGTAACTTAGAATGGCAAACAAGCTGACGGCCCACCTGATGGAAAGTGGTAACCGTCGCCTATAGACATGAGCAGTACCATTGACATAACAGAGTATACTGTTTCGCCCATGATACCCCCATGCGTTGCCATTCCTGAGGACTCAGGTGTTATTTCTCTGTACCCTGTAAATTCACTGCCTTTAAACCATAACACCAAAACACAGCTATGCAAACACAACTGCTTCACGGTAGAAACACGAATGGGACAGAGGTGTCCAAGCAAACGACTTTTGTACAAAGTCTCCCTCTGGTGTTGTTGTTTCATGAGTGTAGTACAAAATCGTCATTAGCAATAGATTGGTTTGATATTGATATTAAATTCAAGAGTAGATTTGCTATTTATTTTTAAATATAGACTTCAATTGAGCAGAAAACGGTAGACGCTTTTTTATTTTGTATACTATTCTTATGTTTGTTTTGGTCTTATTTTGTATGCTACTGTGTGAGTCGCATGATTCTTTGAATTTCTTTCTTTCCTTCTTTATCTTCGTTAGTTTGTTATTGTCTTAGTTTATTAGCGAGAAATTTCGTGCAAAACATTTGCTTCTTTTTTGGATGTTATTTATTTATTTATTTATTTATGGAAAACGTACACCTGAATTACAATCGATACATAATCAAATTTATATCTATGTTAAGCCATGAATCGTTCTCACATATATAATTATACAGATATAGTTGGGAAATGGAATTCTTATTAAATGAAATGGGTTGTAAAATACACAGTTTCATCTTCCGATGGTCGCAGGTTCGATCTAGCCACAAAACAAATATATATGAGTTTGTCATTTTATATTAATTTGGGTATTTTTAATGTATAAAATGTAATTTTAGTGGTATTTATGTGTGTAGTGGTATTTATGTAATGTGTTGAGTGATATTTATGTGTGTAGTGGTATTTATGTAATGTGTTGAGTGGTATTTATGTGTGTAGTGGTATTTATGTAATGTGTTGAGTGGTATTTATGTGTGTAGTGGTATTTATGTAATGTGTTGAGTGGTATTTATGTGTGTAGTGGTATTTATGTAATGTGTTGAGTGGTATTTATGTGTGTAGCGGTATTTATGTAATGTGTTGAGTGGTATACGAGTATATTGCTATTGATTGTGTCAGATCACATCGCTGGAGGCGGTGGGCGACGACCCCACGTACGAGCACCTGCGGCAGCTGATCGTGGACTATAACGACATCGTGAACATCGTCGAGCTGGAGGGCACCAAGTTCATTGACAACTTCATGCTGTTCTCCATTGTGCATAATAAACTTAAAACTGTGAGTACACACTCAATTTTTTTTTATACAACTTAGAATGGTAAACAAGCTGACGGCCCACCTGATGGAAAGCGGTAACCGTCGCCTATAAACATGAGCAGTACCATGGACATAACAGAGTATACTGTTTCGCCCATGATACACCCCATGCGTTGTCATTCCTGAGGACTCAGGTGTTATTCCTCTGTATCCAGTAAATTCACGCCATATCCCACCCTTCAAACCGAAACACAGCCATGCAAACACAACTGCTTCACGGTTGAAATACGAATGCGACAGAGGTACCCAAGCAATCGACTTTTGTACAAAGTCTCCCTCTGGTGAATTTTTTTAAATCGATCGGGATTATTTCTGTGTAAGAAACCATTTTAATTTTGCGAGATGAAAGCTCTTGTTATTCTTTGTGTGTTTAGAAAAACTGTTTGATGCGATGTAAGTTCCATAGTTACTATTTTTATCAGAAATAAAGGTGTTTTTAATTTTGAAATAACTGGATTCTTTATATCATCAGATCCATACTTACGTGCTGTGGAACCGGTTCGACACCAAAGGCCCTACATTCCTAATAGCGGGGAATCGCATTCACTGCGATTGTAACACTGAAAAAATGCTCAAGGTATGTATTTTGCTTACAGAATATTATAAATATGTCTGTGTACTGTAATGATAAATAAATAACCAAAAATCACAATCTTGTACAAAAAATGAAATCGTACTGTTTCATATCTGTGCCGTTTCTGTTCTCTGTAGTGTGTAAAGAAATATTTTAGACATAAAATGCTGGCTTTTTAGAAATTGGTGCATTAAATTTTTGTGAACTTACTGTATTTTCAGGCAACTTTTCGCTATTGCTAGCATTCATGAAGTTCATGATCCAATATTACCGAAGGGTCATTTTTACACACAAGTTTTTAAAAACTGAACAGGTCATGTGACTTCAGACAGGCCTGTTTTGTCTATGATTCTTAATTACACGTTACCTGCCAGTAGTAGTTGGTTTGCGCGGATTCTGGCTCACTCGGCGGCGGCCTCCCAAAAAAAGCTTATTTGAAAAGACTCGTTCCTAGTTGGTTAAGTTAATCTTCAACTTTTATAGTGTCTGTGTGTCAAGTGTCTAAATATCTGGTTTCTGAGTATCTAATGTGTGAGGGTCTAGTTTCTGAGTGTCTAGGTGTCCGAGAATCTGAGTGTTTAGTGTGTGAGTGTCTAGTGTCTGAGTGTCTGAGTGTCTAGTGTCTGAGTGTCTAGTGTCTAGTGTCTAGTGTCTGAGTGTCTAGTGTCTGAGTGTCTAGTGTCTGAGTGTCCGAGTATCTAGTGTCTGAGTGTCTAGTGTCTGAGTGTCCGAGTGTCTAGTGTCTGAGTGTCTAGTGTTTGAATGTCTAGTGTCTGAGTGTCTGAGTGTCTAGTGTCTGAGTGTCTGAGTGTCTAGTGTCTGAGTGTCTAGTGTCTGAGTGTCTAGTGTCTGAGTGTCCGAGTATCTAGTGTCTGAGTGTCTAGTGTCTGAGTGTCCGAGTGTCTAGTGTTTGATTGTCTAGTGTCTGAGTGTCTGAGTGTCTAGTGTCTGAGTGTCTGAGTGTCTAGTGTCAAGTGTCTGAGTGTCTAGTGTCTAAGTGTCTAGTGTCTGAGTATCTAGTGTCTGAGTGTCTAGTGTCTGAGTGTCTAGTGTCTGAGTGTCTAGTGTCTGAGTGTCTAGTGTCTAGTGTCTGAGTGTCTAGTGTCTGAGTGTCTAGTGTCTAAGTGTCTAGTGTCTGAGTGTCTAGTGTCTGAGTGTCTAGTGTCTAGTGTCTGAGTGTCTGAGTGTCTAGTGTCTGAGTGTCTAGTGTCTAAGTGTCTAGTGTCTGAGTGTCTAGTGTCTAGTGTCTGAGTGTCTGAGTGTCTAGTGTCTGAGTGTCTAGTGTCTGAGTGTCTGAGTGTCTAGTGTCTGAGTGTCTGAGTGTCTGAGTGTCTAGTGTCTGAGTGTCTGAGTGTCTAGTGTCTGAGTGTCTAGTGTCTGAGTGTCTAGTGTGTGAGTGTCTAGTGTCTGTGTGTCTAGTGTCTGAGTGTCTAGTGTCTGTGTGTCTAATGTCTGAGTGACTGAGTCCAAACATTACATTTCTTGAATTTCAGAACTGAGGAAGTAAAGTTTTAGAATTGATATAAATTAATTATACTTTGCAGCCATGGCTCCAAGAGAATTTCAAAAACATACCAGACTACAAAGGTTTGGAATGTGAAGACAACATGGGGCCGGTGGTCGAACTGATCGAGTCACGTGTCTGTCACACGCCTCGCGATTGGACGGACTATATTTACTACATTATAGGTTTAGAAGTTTTAGTATTAGTTTTACTAATTAGTAAAGTGTCTTACGACTATTGGGTGTTTAAAACAGCCGGGTACTTGCCGTGGCCAGCCAATAAGATGCCGAGGTTGCCTTGTGATTGGTTGTGCGAGTGAGATCGATGATAACCTCAATTTGGGAGGCAAAGACATATAATATATTCAGCCATAATATGTTGTTTTTTTTTAATTCGTAAAAAATATAGGGTTTAAAAAAATTAAAATGTTAATTTATTTACAATATTTGTTATTACGTTTAGTATACATTAATTATTATATCTAGTGGGTAACTACTTTAATAACCTTGCTAAGTTAAAAATATATATTACCTACTTAAAATTAGTTATTTAAAAATCAGGAAGTTGTTTGTAAAACAAATTAGAGATCTCCTATTAAATATGTTGTACATTTTTAAAGGATTTAGTTAAGATATATGTATATAAATGTTGAAATATATGTAAGTGTAGATGTATTGTATTATTTCTTGGAAGAAGACTAAGTAAGTAAGTCACTAAAAAAATTGTATTATGTTTGGAATCTCCAAATAAATATTGTCTCGATTTTATGCGCTTATAATATGAGGCTAATTAAAGACGTATGCTAATACGTCTCGGTTTCGATAGAACTTGAAAAGATAACCAACTTTTGTTCTAAATAAAATATGGAACAAATTGAATCGATTAATCGATTCGTATCACTGGCTGATAGTCGATTCAATTATTCGATTGTTCATATTAAGTTCTGTTGAAACAGATTTCTGTTTGTGTCTAAAACGTTGATTGGTAGGGTTTCTTGAATTTATGAATTTATCCATCATTGCTGGAGATAAATGGTGAGGTTAAGAATTTATTGTTAATCAAATTAGAAAATTATGTTACGTTGACGTCGTTATTTTTTTTTTGTGTAATAAAATTTTACCCCCTTATTGATAAAAATGTTAAACCACATAAACCTATTTTAGCTATTGAACTGTTTTATCTCTTTCTTTTGTGTTTTTTCAATTCGAAAGTTAATAATAGTTAAAAGAGGTATGCAGGTTTTAATTTTTATGAATAAGAGAGTTTAAGTGTGCGCAAATAGTAATGGCGTCGAATCCGAAATGTCACTTTTCTAAACCATTGTATAACCTATTATTTTAATTTGTTAGTTTCGCAGAATTACTATTTTGTGAATTATCATTAACTAATTTTATAATAGGTTTAAAGATAGGTTTAGAGCATTGTTTTCCTAATTTTATGTCGCGACCAAATCGAATAATCCAAATGAATTACTTAATCGAATAATTAGTAATCGAATTAGTAAAGTCGCTCAGTGTTACGTGAAACGAATCTTTCTATGTCTGATTATTTTTTAACAGACTACGATTCTATTAAATAACAAACGCAAAATCCCTCCCCCACTTCTGACTAAGGATCGCGACTCCCCGTTTGAAAGACGATGGTTTAGAGCAGTAATTCTCGACCACTGTGCCGCGGCACTTTTGTGTGCCGCCAAATCTTGCAAATATTTAAAATTTTTGTCATAAACTATTTACGCAGTGTGTTGTAGTAAGTAAATAATTTTTATCTTTTCCTTTGTGTGCCGCCAAATTTTGAAATCGTTAAATATGTGCCGCAACAAAAAAAAAAGGTCGAGAATCACTGGTTTAAAGAAATGATGTTTCAGAATCGACCCCATTGTCACTGCAAAATACTTAGTTGTTTTACACAGATCATACATTAACGATGATTTGTGAAAGAGACCTACATTGAAAGGCAATCATACACGTATATAGGTGTATTCATTTATTTATATGAGGCTTAACTTATGTTCTATTGGAAAATCAAAGAATATTTAGTTTTTATTTTGTAGTGCCATATGGTTTAATTGGCTGATAAAAATATATACTTATGTATTTATTTCATATTTATTTAAATGCATTACTGAATTTAATAAATAAATAAATAGTCTCTGATAGATTATTAATTAAAACAGCGTAATCTAGTCTAAAATCTTAGGTACATTTTTAGGTTTTTTTTTATACAACTTAGAACGGCAAACAAGCTGACGGCCCACCTAATGTAAAGTGATAACCGTCGCCTATAGACATGAGCAGTATCATGGACATAACAGAGTATACTGTTTCGCCCATGATACCCCCCTGCCCCTAATGTGTTGCCATTCCTGAGGACTCAGGTGTTATTCATCTGTACCCAGTAAATTCACACCATATCCAACCCTTCAAACCGGAACACAGCCATGCAAACACAGCTGCTTCACTTATATACGAGGTCTGTCCGGAAAGTTCGTATAAAAGTGTTCTGGAATGCGAGAAAGAGGAGTGGGGAGGCCAGGTAAGCGCAGGACCCCTTCCTTATGTCCCTAACAATGCTTCAGTTCTGGTCTGACCGCCGTGCGGTGCGAACTGGCTTGTCACGCCATCTGTGAAGTTACCTCTTAACGAAACCCCGTCGGCATGGAGCCCGCTTCCGTTGAAGAGCAGCGCGTCGTAATCAAGTTTCTCTCGAAACTCGGCAAGAATGGCCGTGAAATTTTTGCCGATCTCAGAACAGTTTATGGGGATGATGCTGTGAAGGAACCAACCGTCCACAAGTGGCTAAAAAGATTCAGAGAGGGCCGAGAAAGCGTTCAAGATGACCCACGTTCAGGACGTCCTTCCACTTCACATTCCGACGAAAACGTGGAAAGAATTCGAACTTGTGTTAATGGGGACCGTCGTTTAACGGTCAGACAGGTGGCTGAAGAGCTTAATTTGGGCAAAACCGTGGTCCACGAAATTCTAAGAAACGAACTTCAAATGAAAAAAATTTGCGCCAAGATCGTTCCGTGAGTTTTTGAGTAAAAATTCCATTACGGTGACCGAACACCCCCCCCTATTCGCCGGATTTGGCCCCGTGTGACTTCTTCTTGTTCCCAAAAACCAAATTGGTACTTCGGGGGCGGCATTTGGGGGACATAAATGAGATAAAAAAAAGCTACGACGGGGCAGCTGAGAAACCTACAACCAGAGGACTTTCAAGGAGCCTTCTCACAGTGGAAACGGCGTTGGCATAAGTGCATTATGTCACAGGGGGAGTACTTTGAAGGGGATAAAATTGATTTACCTGAATAATTGTAAAATAAAATTTTTAAAAAACTTTTATACGTACTTTCCGGACAAACCTCGTATAAACTTAGAATACAAATGTTTGTCTATTTGTATTTTTTTTAATGGGAGATAATGTAATTTTAGCTCCGTCTACGCATTGGTATAAGCTGGCGGAGCACCATTGCACCTCGATACTACAATGGTCAGCATTCATCAGCATTCATGCACCTTCTTCCAGCCAGCTCTATCCCAGGCCATATCCTTGATCTCCCTATACGACATGACACCTAGTGTTTCCTTTATCTGTCCCATGTAGTTAATCCTCGGTCTTCCTCTTCCTCTTTTGCCCTCTATCTTTCCTTCTATTATGCTCTTAAAAAAATCGTCATGTCGTATAAGGTGGCCCAGCATTTTGCCTCTTCTATTCTTTATTATTTCAACCAATGTTCTCTTCTCGTTTACTCTTTTTAGGACTTCCTCGTTCGTTAGTTTTTCTGTCCAGCTTATCCTTTCCATTCTCCTCCATGTCCACATTTCGAATGTCTCAAGCATCTTTTTTCCTTCTGCGTCATTGTCCATGTTTCACACTCATACAATGCTATGCTTCAAATACAAGTTTTTATTAATTTCTTAAGGATTATTTTGGATATTTTTGATGTAAATAGATGTTTTTTTGTAGTCGTAGGCCTGTTTTGCGACCGTTATTCTAGTTTTAATATCCAATGTGCACCTAGCGTCCTTTGTGATTATACTATACCATTCCATTATCATCCATTAAAAAAAAAACCTTTTTTTTATACAACTAAGAATGGCAAACAAGCTGACAGTCCACCAGATGGAAAGTGGTAACCGTCGCCCATAGACATGAGCAGCACCATGGACATAACAAAGTATACTGTTTCGCCCATGATACCCCCCATGCGTTGCCATTCCTGAGGACTCGGGTGTTATTCCTCTGTACCGAGTAAATTCACGCGATATCCCACCCTTCAAACCGAAACACAGCCATGCAAACACAACTGCTTCACGGTTGAAACACGAATAGAACAGAAGTACCCAAGCAAACGACTTTTGTACAGTCTCCCTCTGGTAACCTACTAGCCAAGATAACGTTACCCAACGTTTCGGACTTGGGGGGAAGGGATTGTTAGTGATGGAGACTGAGAATCCCATTGCTAGCAATATACTCAACCAGGTCGTCCTCGCGGTTCTCCCTGGAAACTATCATGGTTAATTCCTGATAATTTCATCATGATGGGCTAACTGGCCTGTTTTCATTCTCATCTATCACTCTTCACTTGTGCTCCGCCAGCGTATCCCGTTAGCGCAAGCGGGGTTACCATACCATTTTCACCCATCAAAAAAAAAAAACATTTCGGACTTTGTGTAAGTACTCGTAAAGTACCTGCATCTTATGCAGGTACTGTTTGAGTTCAGTAATGCATTTAAATTATTTTATTGTCCATTATTGAATTTATCAGATTGAATGTTATATATATATTTGTACATAATTACAATCAAGACTGTATATTTTATAAGAGTTTTATAATAATGGTAATGTAATAAAATATTTTTCAACAACTTTGTTTCAATTTTTATTATAGTTAATATAGGTTAGGTATATCGTAACGGCGGTCTCGTTCGCGGCCTCGACACGCGTGCGTACGGGACGGTGGTTAGTGCCGACTACTCGCGTCTGCCCCTGCGCTCGGAGCGTCGAGGCGCGGGCGTAGAAGTATGCGGGGAGGGATAGGCACCTACCGTTGTCTTACTATGCGCGCCGGCTATATTAACCTAATTCCTCTGGGGGAAAGGGATTGTTAGTAATGGAGACAGAATCCCATTGCTAGCAATATACCCAACCAGGTCGACCTCCTCGCGGTTCTCCCTGGAAACTATCATGGTTAATTCCTGAAGAATCTGTCATGATGGGCTACCTGGCCTGTTTTCATTCTCATCTATCACCCTTCACTGGTGCTCCGCCAGCGTATCCCGTTAGCGCAGGTGGGGTTACCATACCATTTTCACCCATTAAAAAAAAAACCTAATTCCTCTTACTATAATTTATATTTGTTTGTTTAATTTTGTTTATATTTGTTTAATTTTTTTATTATCTAAGTTTGTTTCGTTTACTTGTATTTTATTTTGTGCAAATTCTAGTTGCTGCCAAATTACTATTTAAGTATATAATTATGTATTGTTTTAGCTGTTTGTTTGCCTTAAATAAATAAATAAAAATAAAATAAATAATACAGCTAATCCTAACTAATATCAAAAATAGGTAAATGAGTTTGTTTGTTAAGTTTTTACACCTAAACCACTGAATAGATTTTCTTATCTCTCCCTCTAAACAAACCATACATATATGACGTGCCGCCTTTACCGTAGGTGGCGTAAGAGGCGACTAAGGGAGGGTATTAAGTTGAGTAAAGTAGAGGGTATTAAGTAGAGGGTTCTAAGTTGTATAAAAAAAAGTGTAATAATAAAATATACCATTTAAATTTAAAAACAGATTTATTTTACAATAACTTATTTTTTAACTTTTTTCACTTTATCCGCGACCACCTTCTTTTTTCTTTTCTTGCTATTGTTAGATTTGTTAATATTTTTCTTTTGATTTGTTTTATTTTTATTACGTTGCACATTATTTATTTTTCTAAGTTTACTGGCTTCACTGCTCTTTACTGCTACTGCATCTTTTGATTTTTCAGTTTGTTCCGTTTCCTTGTCGCTTTCCAGTTTTCTCCTGAAAGTTATTTATATATTCTTTATTGCACTTGTAAATTACATTGTTAATGCATTTATAAATGTTGTGAGCAAGGGTGGACTTATCGCTGACAGAGATCTCTTCCAGTCAACCCGATACAGTGAGAAAGCATGTCGTTAGCGGGCAGCTGAAGTGTTACAACTATTAATACATAAACAAATCTACACTTAAATATTAAAAAATATTTATTTTTTTTTTATACTACTTAGAATGGCAAACAAGCTGACGGCCCACCTGATGGAAAGTGGTAACCGTCGCCTATAGACACGAGCAGTACCATGGACATAACAGAGTATACTGTTTCGCCCATGATACCCCCCCATGCGTTGCCATTCCCGAGGACTCAGGTGTTATTCCTCTGTACCCAGTAAATTCACGCCATATCCCACCCTTCAAACTGAAACACAGCCATGCAAACACAACTGCTTCACGGTTGAAACACGAATGGGATAGAGATACCCAAGCAATCGACTTTTGTACAAAGTCTCCCTCTGGTAGACATAGACTTATACTATAAATACATATAATACCTACCTACTTATATAATAAATTTTAAAATAAATGAATACACTACTTACATTAGAAATTTCGTTTAATGATTTTAAGATTTGACAGTTCAATTAGAAAAATGAAAAATTATAACTCAAGGGGAAGAGTTAATGTTTGGTTTAATAAAAACGGACTGTGGCGACTGTCTACACCATCAGGCGGGCCGTATGCTTGGCTGTTTCGTCGCAAACCCGTTATAGTAGAAGTCAGTAGGTACTCACTTGCTGGGTTTCTCGAGCAATGTCGATATTTTGTCCCTGCGGGGTGCTTTCTTCATCAGCTTCTTCCTCTTGTTGGGGTCCTGCTTGAGTTTCAGCATGTATTCCGGCACCACGCAGCCGGACTGCTTCATTACTGACGCTATGCTACATTGAGAGGTACACATTGTGAATACTTTCTTTTTTTTTTTCATTTATTTAGGTAAACTAATAATGACAAAATATATAATAATCTATACTTATAATAAATCTGTAGAGAGGTCAATTCTGCACATGAAATATATTTCCAAAATAACTATCAGCGGGTGATTAGTGATCGATACTGATGCCAAAAATGCAATCAGTAAAATTTTTGTCTGTCTGTCAGTATGTTCGTTATAGAAACAAAAACTACTCGACGGATTTTAACGAAACTTGGTACAATTGTTCTTCATACCCCTGGGCAGGTTATAGTATGCTTTTCATCACGCTACGATCAATAGGAGCAGAGAAGAGAGCAGTGAAGGGGAGTGTTAAAAATGTCCACCCGTGCGACGCCGGGACCGGCCGCTAGTAGATAATATTGATGAAAGAAAACATTGTGTAAATTTGCCACCAACACCGTTTACCACAGTTTCGATTCAAATATAATACAAATAAACTAAGCAAACGAGAATAGTGAAAAATTATGTGAATCTTTCAGAGATTTGTTTTTTAAAAGTAACTTGGGCGTAATTATTGTTGTTATTTGACTATGATAGCGTGTAATTATGACATGTTGATTTTATTAACCGACTTCAAAAAAGAGTTTCTCGATTCGGTTGTATTTTTTTTTTATGTTAGTCACCTCATAATTCTGCTAGATCTAAACTGATTTGGAAAATTGTTTTCTAATCTGAACGAATAAATTTACAGAACAGTATTGAAATTCTATAAATTAAAATATAGTAAACTGTAGACACCAGAGGGAGACTTTGTACAAAAGTCGATTGCTTGAGTACCTCTGTCCCATTCGTGTTTCAACCGTGAAGCGGTTGTGTTTGCATGGCTGTGTTTCGGTTTGAAGGGTGGGATATCGCGTGAATTTACTGGGTACAGAGGAATAACACCCGAGTCCTCAGGAATGGCAACGCATGGGGGGGGGGGGGGGTATCATGGGCGAAACAGTATACTCTGTTATGCTCATGTGTATAGGCGACGGTTACCACTTTCCATCAGGTGGGCCGTCAGCTTGATTGCCATTCTAAGTTGTATAAAAAAAAGACATTTTATCAAAATTGGTTCATTGCATATTTTTTTTTGTAGGACCTAAAAAACCAATCGTCATATTAGCTATTAACTGTCCACTGCTGGTTCAAATAGACTTATTTACAAGCACTTTTAAATCGTAATTTTTTTTTAATCTACTGCAGGATTCGTAAAGTTATCTGTAGAGAAGAGCCCACAATAAACTTAACAAGTTATAATATACCAAAGCGTCGTTGTGTGTGGAAAAAAGTGTTTTTACATTTGATGAAATATCTAAATATCTCTCTGTCTCTGTCTCACTTAGGGTATCTGTCGTGGCTGTGTTCATTATGATTCAGTTTGTGCTTTTATATCTCACCTCCTCAGGTTGACCACGTCATCTTGTGTGAAAAACGTGATGGCGCGGCCTCTCTGTCCCGCGCGGCCCGCTCGCCCGACCCTGTACACGATCATTTTTTTTTTCACTTACAACAAATTTGGAATAATTCGACTTAGTTATAAAGAAAAGTGTTACATTACTTGGAATGTCTAGTGATAATATTGCTACATTCAATTCGTTATCACATAGTGATTTTTTTTAAGCAGTGATATCACCTGTGACAAATCATAAAGAGTGATTTTCGCTCGCAATGATTTAACGTCGCACGTCATTTATTTAAATAATTAACCAATGGAAAGTGAAGTATGAATGATTGGTATGATAAGTGTAAGCGAATAGAGATTTAAAAGCAATGTGAAAAAGCCACTATTTGCTTGCTTTGAATAGCCCGAAATGAAAATGCAATTTGGCCAGAAATGAAAACTGAATATGGTAACTTCGCCTGCGCTATCCGTGTACGCTGGTGGGGCACCAGTAAGGTAAGGATGAGCAGGTCAGTTGAGTCATCGTGATGAATTCATAAAAAATTAACCATGATAGTTTCGAGGGGGAACCGCGTGGTGGTCGATCTGTTGGGGTATATTTCTAGGTAAAGGAACTGTTAGATCTCATTAGTATTAATCCCTGCATATTACACTAACCATTTTGATGGAAGGGGCCTGTTGAGGTACAAACTCTTATATCTTTAGGAAGATAAGACATCCAACTGTAAATATTGGGGGGGGGGGGGGGAGGGGGAGGATTGTTAGTAACGTGGATTATTAGTCCAATTGCTAGTAATATACCCTGTCAGGTCAACCTCCACGTGGTTCCCCTGGAAACCATCGTACTGAATTCCAGGTATATTCATCATGATGGGCTAACTGATCTACATTTACATCCTCACTTTTCATGCCTCACTGGTGCCCCACTATTGTATACCGATAGCGCAGGCGGGATTATCATTCCATTATCATCTATTAAAAAAAAAGTACCTGTGAATATAAGCGATGGCGGACGGCGGGAAGTCGTAGTTGATGACGAGGTTGACCCCGCGGAAGTCGATCCCGCGCCCCATCAGCTCGGTACATATCAGTATCCAGATGCGACCCACACGGAAACTCCGCACCACGTTATCCCGCTGAGGAAGTGTTATGATAATAATTTATTATGTTTCACTTCTTATAACTAGCTAGTTTAATAGGTAACAGGTGACAGTATTAGGAAAACAAATTATGTAACCGATAACTACTTATTTTGATTAACTTCTTATAACTAGCTAGTTTAATAGGTAACAGGTGACAGTTTAGGAAAACAAATTATGTAACCGATAACTACTTATTTTGATTAACTTCTTATAACTAGCTAGTTTAATAGGTAACAGGTGACAGTATTAGGAAAACAAATTATGTAACCGATAACTACTTATTTTGATTAACTTCTTATAACTAGCTAGTTTAATAGGTAACAGGTGACAGTATTAGGAAAACAAATTATGTAACCGATAACTACTTATTTTGATTAACTTCTTATAACTAGCTAGTTTAATAGGTAACAGGTGACAGTATTAGGAAAATAAATTATGTAACCGATAACTACTTATTATGATTAATTTCTTATAACTAGCTAGTTTAATAGGTAACAGGTGACAGTATTAGGAAAACAAATTATGTAACCGATAACTACTTATTTTGATTAACTTCTTATAACTAGCTAGTTTAATAGGTAACAGGTGACAGAAGTAGGATAAGAAAGATGTTACGATAACTACTTATTATGATTAACTTCTTATAACTAGCTAGTTTAATAGGTAACATGTGATAGAAGTAGGATAAATTATGTTACGATAACCACTTATTATAATTTATTTCTTATAACTAACTAGTTTAATAGGTATCAATTACAGAGGTAGGATAATTGATGTTACAATAACCATTTATTATAATTAACTTCTGATAACTAGCTAGGTAACCGGTCATTCGATGTAGGAAAACCAATGTAATGGATCACTTCTAGATGGTGTATAAAGAGAAAACATGCACCAGATATTAAGTTACATTCCTTCTGCAATCCAACTTCGTTCGTGTCGGAATAAACATACGGACAGACAAAGTTTTTAAAAATAATTTTGTTTTGGCATCTGTTGCTCTTGATACTAATTTTTAGGAAAGATTTATTCTTAGATTATTTTTTTTATCTCTCATTTACGGAGTCGCCACTCAAGAAGCTTTCTTTCTCATCGGTTGTCGGTTCTTCGAGTTATGTAACCAGCTCATTGCCACTTCAACTTGCTTATTCTTCGGGCCATGTCGGTTACTTTGGTTCTTTTGAAGATATAAATGATTGATTGACGTAACGACATATAAGGACATAGATGGTACGAGCGTACAATACCTGCGCCTGCGTGCGGTCGGCGTGTATGACGTCCACGTTGATCCCGTCGTATATGAGCTCTTTGAACAGCTGCTTCGCTCTGTCCTTGCTTTGCACGAACACTGTGTTACACAGAGGTTTCTTTATAAATAAATAAAAAAAAAAACTTAAGATGTGTTGTTAGCAATAAAATATATTTTATAAAATGTATGTTTTAATTTAACAAATAACGCCATCTAGCGTCATGGCATAGAAAAGTACTATTACGATTGTTCGGTGTACTTGATAGTTCTAACCTTAGATACGTACAAATATATCAATTTTGTGTAATTAAAGGGCTTTTTACTCTTTCAAATAAAGACTATGCTCTTAACATTGGTCCTTCGAGCCGGATTGGAACTTGCGACCTATGTACTTTGCATGATTGTTTCATAAGTTTGTGTGTTCACATTTAACGTATGTAACATCCTTCTGTACATTTTTGTTGTGTTTAAAGAAGTCAGTTTAAAATCATTTTTAATCATAATGGTATATAATGTAATCTGCCATCTAGTGGTTGTGTAAATTTTGAGAGATATAATTTATTTTATTGTTACCTATTCTTTAAGCTTTTGATACCTATAATAGGAAGGTTGACAAACATCAACTGTTATTTTATAATGGCGGCCATTTTGAAAAAACAACATTGAGTATTGCGTATTGTATTGTTATAGAACTAAAGGTGTTTTGGCCAAATTAGATGTCAAGAACAGGTTCAAGCTAATTTAGCTTACAAGATTTGAAATAAACCAAAAACCAACCCACGTTAAATAAAAGCTTGTTAAAATTATAAGTTACCCCATTGTTGGTTGATTGTTAATTGGAATTTTCCTTAGATACGCTCCATCTAGATGTGTATGATCTATGTGCTAACAAAACATACCTAGAACTGGGGGCTTGAGTCCCTTCTGCACCAGTTGCCTGAACGCCACCAACTTGCCGTTCTCGTTGCCGCAGAACAGCAACTCCTGATCCACTAGGTTAGTGGCTGCATTCCTGAAGACGACATTTTTATTTATTTATTTCAACAATATACATAGTTTGTTGAGGAATACTCTGAAATTACTAGCTTTTTGAATTTAGACTAACTGTATATAAAAATAGGTACAATTAATTCTGAAACCACTGAATTGAATCTAAGCAAATTATTGTAAATGTATATTTTTTACTTCATCTTGAAAGATAAGTAATATAAAATAATAAATGATAAAAAAAATACTTCAAATGTGACAAAATCAAATAAATTTTGACATAAAAACTAAACCACTGAACCGATTTTGATAAAACAAAATTATAGGACCAATCTGTATATTGCAGATAAAAAAGAATTATACAAATCGATCTAGAACTGACAGAGTTATGAGGTAAAAAATAAATAGAACCAAACTGAGAAACTTATTTTTGAAGTCGATTGAAAAGGGAGCCAGTAGGCAGTTTTTGATTGATGATAATGAAATGGTAACCTCGCCTGCACTATCAGTATACGCTCACAAGGTACCAATGAGTTGCCTCATCATGACGAATTCACTAGGAAATAACTTCGATGGTTTCCAAGAGGTACTACTTGGAGGTCGACCTGATATATTATTAGCAATGGGGTCACAATTCCCTATTATTTAGAAACCTCCCTGTACACGCTAAAGCGTGACGTCATTGTCACCGGCGCACGCGCCGCACTTCCACATGAGGACTCGGTCCGACCTCACGTCGGCTCAGTCAGTCGGCGCGGGGGAAAAGGGATTGTTAGTAATGGAGTTTGACAGCCCCATCGCTAGCAATATGCCTTATTAGGTCGATCTCCACGTGGTTCCCCCTGGAAACCATCGTGAACAATTCTTGTTGAATTTGTCACGATGGGCTAACTGATCTACTTCATCCTCACCTATCATCCTTCACTGGTGCCCCGCCGGTGTATACCGATAGCACGGGTGGGGATACCATTTCAGTATCATCCATTAAAAAAAAAGCCAGTCGGCGCTTGAAACCCGATATAGCGAGAGGTCTCGCGACCGTACCTGCTCGTATCGTGTATACCAGTTTGAGTCACGTCATCTCATCATCATCAGCTCACCACCCGTGGACCTGCTTCAGCTTACAGAACCATCCAGCAGTAAGTCCACAATCCGTATTCTCTCTTCCCCTCTTTTCACCGACAGTACAACCCGAGACTGTCAAGTAGATGGTGGTAGGAGTAAAACAACTATAATTTATCAGTGACCTTTGTCCGACGGTGATGTTGATGAGTCCGCGCAGGTTGTGGCGGGTCCACTTGGCAACAGCAGGCGTGTGCGTGGCACTGAACATCGCCACCCGGCGCTGCTTGCTGCCGCAGCACGACATTATTTGGTCCAACTGCTGTCTGAAGTCCGACGCCTGCTCCGCGGAGCCCTCGAACAGTTTGTCCGCCTCATCTATGATCAGCCATCGGACTCTGGGAAATATAATTAGTTACATTACAAATATACATATATATTTTGTACTAGCTTTTTGCTCGTTACTTGTTATCTATCTGTAGGCACAGATTTCAGAAGTAGGTTAGTTACCTGAAATAGGCTAATTCTAAATGGCGTATCAGGATGAAATATATACCAGTTTAGATGAAATATACACCAGAGGGAGACTTTGTACAAAAGTCGATTGCTTGGGCACCTCTGTCTCATTCGTGTTTCAACCGTAAAGCAGTTGTGTTTGCATGGCTGCGTTTCGGTATGAAGGGTGGGATATGGCGTGAATTTACTGGGTACAGAGGAATAACACCTGAGTCCTCAGGAATGGCAACGCATAGGGGGCATCATGGGCGAAACAGTATACTCTGTTACGTCCATGGTACTGCTCATGTCTATAGGTGACGGTTACCACTCTCCATCAGGTGGACCGTCAACTTGTTTGCCATTCTAAGATGTATAAAAAAAATGTTAAGGAACTTAATTTACGTACTATAAAAATTGGAAAAATACATAATTTAATAGTATTATTTAAACCATGAAAGTTTGTCTATAATACCATGAGTAGTCAATTATTTTTAGATAAAACAATTTCCATAACCAGAATGGTATCAAATATGAACCTATTGGCTTCTCTAAATCAAAACAAATGATCAAGTAGGCAGTTCATTGTAAGTTTATGTATATATGTATATTTTTATATGCATAAATACTCATGTATGTATAATTACCATATAAAATATAAATATTTTTTTAAACCAATATCGTAAATGTAGAATTTATTTATTTATTTAAACTTTATGCTGTATTAAGTTTATATAAATAAATAAATACGCTATCTATACTAAACAATCCAAAATCCTTTTTAATACGACGAGAGATTGGACAAGCCGTTTAGAATGAAAGAAGCATTACATTTCACTCAATTTGGAGGAAACAATTTTTATGTTTAGTTATAATATTACATTGAAAACCGCATCCAATTTGGTGCAGTAGTTTTTGCATGTCGGATAAAATAAACCGATAGACGGTAATGTAAAAATGTAATGTAAACTGGACCCTCTTTTCCGCGCTTAGCATCTCATTTGGGCCGTTGTGCGTATGTACAGACAGACGGTTTATTATTATGCAATATATTTTTATTTTATTAATATTTTCACTTACTTGTCCAAGGTGATATTTACATTGTCTTGATTAAGCAGGTAACAGAGGCGGTTTGGCGTACTGATCACAATATCTGAAACAACACAGTTTTATTTTAACTTAGTCTAGATAAAGTAGATAGTCTCACCCATATTCTATGGTCCAAGGGAGATACAATTTTTTTTTAATAACACGGCGCAAACAAGCATGCGGCTCACCTAATGGTAAGCGACTATCGCCGCACATGATCGCCCGCAACACCAAAGTAAAGCATTACCGGTGTGCTGCCAGCCTTTTAAAAAGGAATATGCGTTTTCCTTGAAGATATGGTATGGAATCTACTTTGAGGAGACTTTTTTTATCGTCTGATCAAAAAAATATACATAAATGGCTACAGAGAAAGGGATTCTTAATAATGGGAACTAATAAACCTCATTATAATAACCTCATCATAATAAACCGCATCATAATAAACCTCATCATAATAAACCTCGTCATAATAAACAGCATCATAATAAACCTCATCATAATAATCGTCATCATAATAAACAGCATCACAATAAACCTCATAATAAACCGCATCATAATAAACCTCATAATAAACCGCATCATAATAAACCTCATCATAATAAACCTCGTCACAATAAACCTCATCATAATAAATCGCATTATAATAAACCTCATCATAATAAACCGCATCATAATAAACCCCGTCATAATAAATAGCATTATAATAAACCTCGTCATAATAAACCGCATCATAATAAACCTCGACATAATAAACCGCATCATAATAAACCTCGTCATAATAAACCGCATCATAATAAACATCGTCATAATAAACCTCGACATAATAAACCGCATCATAATAAACCTCGTCATAATAAACCTCGACATAATAAACCGCATCATAATAAACCTCGACATAATAAACCGCATCGTAATAAACCTCGACATATTAAACCGCATCATAATAAACCCCGTCATAATAAACAGCATCATAATAAAGCTCGACATAATATACCTCGTCATAATAAACCGCATCATAATAAATCTTGTCATAATAAACCTCATAATAAACCGCATCATAATAAACCTCATCATAATAAACCGCATTAAAATAAACCTTGTCATAATAAACCGCATTAAAATAAACCTCGTCACAATAAACCTCGACATAATAAACCGCATCATAATAAACCTCGACATAATAAACCGCATCATAATAAACCCCGACATAATAAACCGCATCATAATAAACCTCGTCATGATAAACCTCGACATAATAAACCGCATCATAATAAACCTCGACATAATAAACCGCATCATAATAAACCTCGTCATAATAAACCTCGACATAATAAACCGCATCATAATAAACCTCGACATAATAAACCGCATCGTAATAAACCTCGACATAATAAACCGCATCATAATAAACCTCGTCATAATAAACCTCGTCATAATTAACCGCATCATAATATACCTCGTCATAATAAACTGCATCATAATAAACCTCGGCATAATAAACCTAATCTTAATAATATAATCGCAATAAATCAATGAGGTAATGAATTTGTCATGGAAGATGATATAGAGATATCATCTTCCATGACAAATTCATTACCTCATTGAGCTCACTGACCAGACTTCTTTCATCTATTGTCATTCATCATTATCATATATATCCTGTTTTGTCAGTGAATATTGATAGTGCTGGCGGGTTTTTTTTTTATATAATGGATGATAATGGAATGGTAAACTCGCCTGCGCTAACGGTATATGCTGGCGGGGTACCAGTGAGGGATGATAGGTGAGGATGAAAGTACAGGTCAGTTAGCCCATCATGATGAATACGCCTGGAATTCAGCACGATGGTTTCCACGGGGGACTATTAGAATAGGGTATATCGCTAGCAATGGGACTGGTAGTCCGCATTACTAACAATCCCTTTCCCCCCCAAGTGCAGGCGGGGTTACAATTCCATTTTCATTTCATAAGTGTGCTTTGTGTATATGAAATGAAATATTTATTTGCTTTAAACAGACAATCACTAGGACAATCGGACAAATCACTTACCACTTTTCCTAATGGTAGCTTCTCGTTCCTTTACTTTACTTTCTTTCAGATTACGCACCACACTGCACCGTAGTTCTGTGGAAGCACTAAGCCTCAATGCTTCACGATAGATTTGGTGAGCCAATTCTCTTGTGGGACATAGGATCAGAACCCTTGGGCCGCCTTGTGGGGCACCTAGAGTGTGTAAAATGGGCAGAAGGAAAGCCGCTGTCTTGCCAGAACCAGTTGGTGCACACGCAAGGATCTGGCGGTCCTGTTTTACAAATAAAATACAAATCATACTGTTTTCTTTTTACCAGTACCATAATAAGCTAATCTAAATTTATATAAATCCTATCATAATGTTTATTAACTGTAATCTCTTAAACTGTTTAAAAGATTTTCTTAATATTTTGTAAATGTGTATTATTTTTTCCAATTTGAGAGATAGGACAGTTTTAAAAGTTCAGTTTTTAAAAAGAAATAGGTCTATTTTTAGTATTCTTCTAATTTTAAAATTTTCATTCTTAATGTAATAAAATGTTTTACCTCCAACATGCAGGGTAAAGTTTGCCGTTGCACAGGTGTAGGCTCAGTATAACCACACTGTATCACAATGTCCACTAGTGACGGAGATACATTGTATAGGGGCATTAAATCAGAGAACTGCTTCAAGGCAGGGGGTACATGCCGCCCCACCACTTTTATACCATGTTCATTACGGAAACGGTTTTGCTGAAAATTAATGTTTATATGTTTAAGTTTTTTTTCATTGCACCTAATTTTTTTTTAGGTGGTAGCTGAGGAAAGAGAAAGAAGGAATAACATCATATTTTTATTCTTCGCTTAGCTTAGTATTGTTACAGATGATTTATTCTGATAAGAATGGAGTTGATTCTGAGATGGCATTTCTAAAATTAAAATTATCAATTTGAATTCACAATAAAATCGTTATGTTTAGGATTAAAATGAATTAATGGTAAACTGGTCACATAAGTTAGTAATCAATTAGGTTATAGAACAATTTGTGTTAGATATAAACTATAGAATAAAAAATGTTTTAACAAACCTCTTCGAGATCTAGTTTCTTTTGTAAATCTTCTGTCTTTTCTTTTTTCTTCTTTTTCCTTTTTTTTTCTCCGATAATAACTCCGTCTACCAATTGTATGTCGGCGTTTTCACTATCTGAGCCCTCAGATTCAGATATATCAGAATTATTACTACAATCACTTTCATCTTTGATAAATTCTTCTGTTTTAACTTTTATTTCTTCTTTTTTAGGCACCTCTAAACTTTTTGAAGGTTGCTCCTGCTTAAGAAAATATAGATTTTTAGCAACATGAAATGAAACAATAAAACAAAAAGGTTATAGAGAACTTACATTATTTTTAATACCTAGAACTCGGTGTTTAAATGTTAAGCCTTTTGTTAATTTCTTGAATATATCATAGGCGTCCATTGTGAGAAGATTTGATCATTGTTTTTCTTGTACAAAATTGCGATCAAACCCACGTGTGATACCTATTCTTTGACAAACAACAATTAATGAAATCGAATTGAGTGTCAAAACAAATATGCGACTTGACAATTGCACACTGACATTTGACGTTTGACTGATATTGTTGTTTTACGATTTGTCCAAATTGGACAGGCAAAGAGCATTTTCCAAACAGCCTAGTCTACTAATAAGTTTAGTTACAATTGATTCTTCATATATAAATATGGAGACAATTATTTCATCCGTAATTTATCTTCTTAGGAGCTATAAGTACTAAATGTTAGATGTCACCCCTAATACATTGACTGAGTGTTAAATGTAAATATCATTTTTTTTTCCTTTTTTTTTTTTTATTAGCTAGATGTAGTTGACATATTTATTATATGAGTATATATAATCTTTGTATAGCTAATTTGTTTACTATAAACCAAGAACCTACTTCAGAGGTAAAAATATATGAGAAGTTATGTTAGTTATGAATACAAACATTATACTAAGTCTATGTTATAAGTATAAATTTTCATATGTTTTATCTTCAGGGATGCTTGATTAGTTTCGAATTTGATAGGAGCAGATTTTAACAATGAATAAAATTGATGTAAATAATTACAATATAGTACGATAGTTATTATTCGACATAATAAAAAATGTGCCTATTGTGAAATTTGTTTCATTTTTCAGGTCGGTACAGCATTAAAATTCATTTTGTCAATTTTGAGTTAATCCATATTACGCGACATAAAAAAATACATTCGAATAATTGAATACCTTCTCCTATTTGAAATGTATAGAAGAATAGCTACGCAGTCATAATATACCGTGTTATAGTGTCATTCTTAAACATTCTTGCTATTCGTTTATCAACAGGCGTTTTAACAATTAGAATTACTTCTTGTGTATAATGTCCTATAATCTCTATTTTACTAGAGGGAGACTTTGTACAAAAGTCGTTTGCTTGGGTACCTCTGTCCCATTTGTGTTTCAACCGTGAAACAGTTGTGTTTGCATGGCTGTGTTTCGGTTTGAACGGTGGGATATGGCGTGAATTTACAGGGTACAGAGGAATAACACCTGAGTCTTCAGAATGGCAACGCATGGGGGGTATCATTGGCGAAACAGTATACTCTGTTATGTCCATGGTACTGCTCATGTCTATAGGCGACGGTTACCACTTTTCATCAGGTGGGCCGTCAGCTTGTTTGCCATTCTAAGTTGTATAAAAAAATCTTTAGTTAAACGTAATAATTTTAATATTATTATTATCATTTCAGACTGTACTCCTGTCCTGTCTACTGGATATGTCTTCCCTATAAAAATATAAATAACTTAATCTATGGAAATCAAAGGGATTTCTAGTATATTATCTCATCAAATGAAGATTTAATAGTATACCTACACATAAGTATGTACTATCATGAGTCATGACAGCTCTATCGGAGAACGTTTGATTTGAGTTGGAATCCCAGCATATACATGGGCGCCGTCAGAGTTATTTTCAGGGAAGTGAGTATATATATATATATATATATATATATATATATATATATATATATATATATATATATATATATATATATATATATATATATATGTATACTATCGGTATACGCTAGCGGGGCACCAGCGAGTGGTGATAGGTGAGGGTGAAAGTAGGTCAGTTAGCCCATCTTAAAGAATTCCGTGAGAATTAACCACGATGGTTTCGAGAAGGAACCACGTGGAGTTCGACCTGATAGGGTACATTGCTAACAATGGAACTGTTAGATCCCATTACTAACAATCCTTTTCCCCCCTATTGCGCCATGTTTTTTTTTGATGGGTGAAAATGGTATGGTAACCCCGCCTGCGTTAACGGGATACGCTGGCGGAGCACCAGTGAAGGGTGATAGATGAGAATGAAAACAGGCCAGTTAGCCTATTATGATGAATTCATCAGGAATTAACTATGATAGTTTCCAGGGAGAATCGCGAGGAGGTCGACCTGGTTGGGTATAATAATAATAATAATAATAATAATAAGCCTTCCAAAGTCCAACCCCGCGTCCGAGCTCACCATCTAGCTCACGTGGAAGGCGGTCACGCGTATAAATAAAACCTACGCGGCTAAAGGGGCAATGGCAAAAATAAAGATGGCGAATAATTATAACGGAGACAGTATAGGGTCGCTGCCTGGGGGTCGCCGGGGCGCGTCTACAACTGGCGGTAGGCGCGGCAGAATGCGAGCCAGCCGACCGGCCCCACCACCTGGCCGGTCCGACCCCTCGCCATCGACATCAGCTGGCTTGGCGCCGGCAGGGCCGTCACAGGCCCAGCAATCGGTGCCCGCCACTGGTGGTACACGTCGCATGAGGTGGACAAGAGCCATGAATGAGGACCTCATGCGTGCGTTCTTCAGGGCTACAGGGACAGAAACAGGCAGAACAGGATACCGGGCAGTAATGCACCGCGAGTTTCTGCGTCTTTTACCGGATCTAACCGTCTCGGAACAGAACCTAGCCGACAGAGTTCGGTACATACAGCGCTCTGGTATGTTTAGCGCGACCGAACTCGAACGATTGCGAAGTGAAGTTGTTCCAGAAGCAAACTCCGCGACCGTAGAGCAACCAATCTCAGACGTGCTACCTAGCGTAGAGGTGGTTGCCGAAACGCTTTCAGAAGCGGATGCGGACGGAACAACTTCCCAGGATATAGAGCATATGAGGAGCATACTAGAGGAGGCGATTCTAGAGATCCGAAGAACTCCCCTCGAAGAGAGACCGAAGCTTCCCCGGATATATCCAAATGTGGCGACGCGGGATGCCATTGAGGCCACAAATGGACTGCTGCCTCAGTACCTTGAGGGCAGCGGTGACCTGGGAGAGACGAGTTCAATCCTGTTTGGCGCTGCGTTGGCAGTATGCCGATATACCGGCGCAAAAATGCCCCGGGCTGGACGTAATATCCAAAGGGATAATATGAAACCAGCCTGGAAAAGAAGGATTGAACGACGGATCGCCCAGGCCAGAGTCCTCATTGGTAGACTGCTCTGCTTCAGGGAGGGCAACACACGCCCGAGAATTATGCGCTCCGTAAAAGAGGCCTTTGCTGGGACAGGGGTACGTCTGTTCCAGCCGGACTTCGGGCACAAACTTACGGAGCGCATAGATGAACTGAAGCAGAAGATCGCTGCATGGGGGAAGCGACTCCGACGGTACTCTGAGAGGGTTGAGAGGTATCAACAGAATCGCCTCTTTATGAGTGATCAACGGAAGTTCTATAGGAACTTGGAGCGCCCAAAACTACAGCCCACAGGACAAAGACCCGAAACAGCCAATTTCGTCGCCTTCTGGAGACAGCTGTGGTCTGAACCTGTGGAACATGAGGAGGGCGCATGGATGCACGATGTTGAGGAAGCATGTGCTCGAATAACGCCGATGAACGCCATTGCCATTACGGAGGAAGACGTGGTTGCCGCGATCCGTCGGGCTCCGAACTGGAAAAGTCCGGGGATCGACGGATTGCAGCACTACTGGTTAAAGGCGTTCTCGGCCAGCCATGCGACCTTAGCCGTGCAATTCCAGAGTGCCCTCGAAAACAGGACGCTCCCGAACTTCCTTACAACCGGGATCACTCATTTAGCTCCTAAGACGGACGATACCGCGGATCCATCTAAATATCGCCCCATCACTTGTCTTACGACAATATATAAGACGTTAACATCCGTTCTGAGCGCTAAGATCTCTCGTCATGTGTACGAGAATAAGATCCTATCTGGCGCTCAGAACGGATGCAGGGGCGGTAGCCGCGGATCGAAGGAGCTGCTCCTCATTGATGCTGTCGCTGGCCACGTGGTCAAGCGGAACCGTCGGAATTTCTCCGCCGCCTGGATAGATTATAAAAAGGCGTTCGATTCCGTGCCCCATTCATGGCTCCGGAGGATACTCGAGCTGTACAAGATCGACGGTACAGTTCGAGTGTTCTTGGAGGCATGCATGGGGCAGTGGACGACGATCCTGACTATCCAGGGCGAGCGATTGACGGATACCGCTGACCGGATAGAGATAAAGAGGGGAATATTCCAGGGCGATTGTTTGAGTCCACTTTGGTTTTGCCTGTCCCTGAATCCACTCAGTACTTTACTGGAGAATTCGGGGACTGGATTTCAGTATCGGAGAGGAGGTACACGAGTGTCTCACCTTCTGTACATGGATGACTTGAAACTGCTAGCTCCGAGCGTCGAACGCCTGACGGAGCTGCTAAATATCGTAAACGATTATAGCAGCTCTATTAGGATGGCGCTCGGAATAGACAAGTGCGCGGTCCTCCATGTGCAGAGGGGACGGGTCACTCAAACTGACGGGATCGCCACAGATCCCTCTAATATTAAAACCCTCTCCGAGGCTGAAACATACCGGTATCTGGGCATGTCACAAAACATCGGTGTGAAGGAGACGGATATGAAACAGTCAGTCCGCGAGGAATTTTTTGCGCGCCTTACAAGAGTACTGAAAAGTTCTTTATCGGGCGCCAATAAAATCCGAGCTTATAACGGCTGGGTCATACCCGTACTCCTTTACACTTTTGGCGTGCTCAGATGGTCTCAAACCGAACTCGAAGCCCTGGATCGGAAAGTCCGCACAACTATGACCCTCCATAGAATGCATCACCCGAAATCGTCAGTCATGAGGCTGTATATCCCGCGGAAAGCTGGTGGTCGAGGCTTGTTAAGCGTTAAGACCATGCACAACCGCGAGATTGACAGCCTCAGGACATATTTTCTGGAGAAAAGAGACGAGGGTTTGCATAGAGAGGTCATAGAATGTGACAAAGGATTCACCCTCTTTCTCTGGCTAAAGAGGACTGGCGAAAACCCGAAGTTTTGGGTACCTCTCAGCGGGAGGCCGTATGGAAAGAGAAGGAGTTGCACGGAAGGTTCTTCAAAGCCCTTCACGGGCCGTACGTAAACACGAAGACCTCCGTGCACTGGCTACAGTTCGGTGATCTCTTCGGAGAGACCGAGGGTTTTGTCTGTGCAATACAGGATCAGGTGGTTAAGACGAACAATTACCGAAAGCACATTCTGAAGGCTGGCACTGAGGACATCTGTCGAGCATGTCGCCATCCTGGAGAGTCACTCAGACATGTGCTTTCGGGTTGTTCAGCTCTTGCCAACACAGAGTACTTGCACAGGCACAACCAGGTAGCCAAAATACTCCATCAAGAGCTAGCTCTGAAGTACGGCCTCGCGAATGAGAGGTTACCGTACTATAAGTACGAGCCACAGCCGGTCCTCGAAAGCGACAGCGTCAGGCTCTACTGGGACCGATCCATCATCACGGACAGGACTGTTCTTGCGAACAAACCTGATATCGTGGTGATGGACCGGGCACATTCGAGGGTGTTTTTGGTGGATGTCACCATACCGCATGACGAGAACCTCGTGAAAGCCGAAACCGAGAAGAAGAGAAAATATCTCGACCTGGCTCACGAGGTGACCGAAATGTGGGGGGTGACATCTACCGAAATCATCCCAATCGTTATGTCGGTGAACGGTCTTATCCCAACCAGTCTGGAACAACATCTCAGACGGTTGGGATTCCGAGGCGGCTCACTCCCGGGAAAGATGCAGAAAGCGGTGCTCTTAGATTCTGCCCGCATTGTACGCCGGTTTCTCTCCCTGGGGCCCTGAACCCCGGCCGACTGTGCTTCTGCCGGGGGTTAGTTGCCATCTCCTCTCCTTAAGAGGGGAGATGAGAATTTTGGTAAAATTTAAAAATAATAATAATAAATTTATTTATTGACCGAGAAGAAGAGAAAATATCTCGACCTGGCTCACGAGGTGACCGAAATGTGGGGGGTGACATCTACCGAAATCATCCCAATCGTTATGTCGGTGAACGGTCTTATCCCAACCAGTCTGGAACAACATCTCAGACAGTTGGGATTCCGAGGCGGCTCACTCCCGGGAAAGATGCAGAAAGCGGTGCTCTTAGATTCTGCCCGCATTGTACGCCGGTTTCTTTCCCTGGGGCCCTGAACCCCGGCCGACTGTGCTTCTGCCGGGGGTTAGTTGCCATCTCCTCTCCTTAAGAGGGGAGATGAGAATTTTAGTGGAATTTATTTGCTTTAAATAGGGTAGATATCGGTGGTCTTATATTACATAAAGTTTCGTGCCTATTTAGCCATTACAGAATAGCATGCAAATGTCACATTTTGATAGGAATTGATTAATTTAATTTATGCATCGACAACTATATTAGATATTTATCTATTCTTTCTTGAAAAATTCGTCAACAGAGTAAAAGCTTTTGCTAAGTAACCATTTACGTAACACAATTTTAAATTTATTTAATGGAAGTTCCTTTATATCCGTAGGTATATTGTTAAAGATTGTCAAACACATCATATAGGAATTTCTTAATAAACGGCTAGTTTTAGGAATTGTATTGGTCACTAGTTTTTTAGGGTATCTTGCGCTTCTTTGTATTTGCTCTTTTGCTTCTGTAAACATGTGCTTATTCAATTTAACAAATATACCCGCTTCAAGTATATACAGACTGGGAACAGGTAATATATTTAGAGACTTAAAATAAGGCCTACAAGAAACATCAGGTGCAATATTACATATAGCACGTATACAACTTTTTTGCGCGACTAGAATTTTCCCAACATCAACGCCATTACCCCAAAGTAGCAATCCATATCTAATCATGGATTCAACATATGAAAAATATGCTGTAATAGCAGTATTTTTATTGGCTATCTTGGTTAATTTGTAGAGTGCAAAAGGGAATCTTTTAATCTTTGCACATACCTTTTCTATTTGTTCTTTCCATGTCAATTTAGAATTTATTGTTAATCCTAGAAATGTCACACAATTTGCATTATTTATAATTTGTTCATTTATATGTATATTAATTGAAGTATTTTTAAAGTTATTAAAATTCATCATTTTTGTCTTTCCTACATTTATTAGAAAATTGTTTTCTTGTGTCCATTATATTGCTAGCAATGGAATTCTCAGTCTCCATTACTAACAGTCCCTTTCCCCCCTATTACGCATTGCTGATAAGGCGCAAGAGGCAACTAGGGGAAGTAATGGACAAGGAGTGGGTAGCATCTCTATTAAAACATCACCAAAGCCTATCTGCGGTTGCCAACTCGCCTGCCAATCGTGACAACTACTGGCAATAGTCCTTAATAGTGAGAGGCTTATGTTCATTAGTGGACAGTTAACGACTGCTATAATGATAGTATACTTACCGTAAATTTCCAGAAAAGATAAAAAAAAAAAAACTAGTTTAATTATATCATGATATTTATGTTTCAGTTTCTGCCTACCCTAATGGGAGATAGGCGTGACAGATATGTAAGTATGTATGTATGTATGATATTTATATTTAGCTGCTGTGAGTATGATTAGGTATGTATAAGAAAACATATAAGAGCCGAGCCAAAATTTCTATTTTTTTTTATACCACTTAGAATGGCAAACAAGCTGACGGCCCACCTGATGGAAAGTGGTAACCATTACCTATAGACATGAGCAGTACCATGGATATAACAGAGTATACTGTTTTGCTCATGATACCCCCCATGCGTTGCCATTCCTGAGGACTCAGGTGTTATTCCTCCGTACCCAGTAAATTCGCGCCATATTCCACCCTTCAAACCGAAACACAGCCATGCAAACACAACTGCTTTACGGTTGAAACACGAATGGGGTAGAGGTACCCAAGCAATCGATTTTTGTACAAAGTCTCCCTCTGGTCTAGTCCTATTGTAGAAGCAAACTGTAAAGAGTTTGTGTCTAAAATCGATATCAGGCGCTCTTGCCAAAGTTTCTGATTGGGGTAGACTAAATTTAGTCCAGATCAACTCTACTAAGACACAAGCTTGCACGTTCACCGCTAAGAAAATCCCATTTGCTGTGGTTTTGAAGATTTAGACATGTTAGTTACTATTTATTGCCAATAATATTGGGTTCCTCGGTGTCGACATATTCAGTCGAGTTTCACAGTCGTCTGGAAGACAAGATCAAGCTGGCGTCTAGAAAGCTCGGAGTGCTGAATAAAGCGAACCAGTACTTCACTCGGGGACAAAGATTGTTATTTTAAAGTCACAAGTTTGACTCCATGTGGAGTATTGTTCTCACTTACGGGTAAGAGCTCCTGGATACCAGCTTAGTCCTCTTGACTCAGTTCAAAGGAGTGTTATGAGATTTGTCAACGATTTTAGCTAAAAAGGTGGTATGAAGCCTCTATGAGATTTTGTTCCCATTGTATTTTCTTCCGGATTGTGTTCTAAATAACTCCTCGATATGACGCCTACAGTACTCCTCTAAAGTTTTTTTCTAGAGACTACAGCAGGGGTTCTTCAAAAGGGCGTATTACAGTTTCTTAAGGATCAGTAACGTGTGTGTGAGATCCTTTGTGTCACAGACGTTCTTAGGCTATCGTAACACCGTTTATCATCAAACGGGTTGTATGTTTGTTTGTCACCATAGTAGCATAAAAAAAATTATGATATTTATCGAGTATATACTTATGATCTTAGCAATATATTTCCTTAAAGGATATAATTTATTATAGTTACAGTATTGGCGGCTGTAGGTGGGATTGTGTATAAGAGTAGAGGTAATTTTTTTTAATGGATGATAATGGAATGGTAACCCCACCCGCGCTATCGGTATACACCGGCGGGGCACCAGTGAAGGATGATAGGTGAGGATGAAGCAGGTCAGTTAGCCTATCGTGACGATTCAACAAGAATTGTTCACGATGGTTTCCAGGGGGAACCACGTGGAGGTAGACCTAATAAGGCATATTGCTAGCAATAGGGCTGTCAAACTCCATTGCTAACAATCCCTTTCCCCCCAAGAGTAGAGGTACTAAAAAAAAACTATTTTTGTTTAGTACCTGTACTCTTATGACAATGATACGATTATAAGTTACGATATTTATACTTAGCTGTAAACATGTAGGATAAAATAAATTAAAATACCCATCATCAATGGAATCACTGCGAGTTTATTTTATACTTTTATTACATCCAACTGTTATACTTTGCATGAGAATTCGAATGTAGATATCGAAACGAGAAATGAGATGGATCAAACAAACAATTTTCACTTGAAAGTTAATAAAAAGCAATTACTGTGCTACGCTCCATCATTGTCAGTGCTTATCGTAAATATATACATAGACAAAGCATTTCTTTTATGACATAGGTCCGATATCTAGAAAAAAAAATATATGCGCCACTATTTTGGCGGGAATTAGTGTTTGTGATTTTTGCAATTTTGCACGCGAATAAATAATTGAGCGCCATTAATTTCTGAATAATACGGAATTTAAAAATGGAATATACTCCTAACATAATTCCAATTTGATTAAATCCTTTTTTAAAGTTTAGTCAATAAGAAATGGCGCCAAAACTAAGATACGTAACCAAAAACAATGATGGATTGCAACAGACAAAAATGTCAGATACAAAGATACTTACAGTACTAAGTTTTCCGACCATTGATATGTACCTATCTATCAACTGCAACCCGAGTTTATTCCTTAATCACATATATCAACAACATCAAAACAAGTAAAGACACCATTTCAACTGTCGCTGGAACCCCGGGGTTTTCACTCGTGAGATCAAACACACCGATTTTAAAGATAATCGCGAATACACAATATAGATATGGTATTATGTTATTTAGTTTTACTTCATGAAGCTATTATTAAATTGGTTCTTCACGATATTTGACAATTTAATAAGAAACCGTCATATTTGTGAGTATTTTATCGTATTGTGAAAATTAACTAATATTACTTATACCTGTATATTATGTATAAAAATTTATAACTCACAAATTATTTTATAAATTTTAATTCTTACACGTTAATTGAATTTGCAACTATTTTCTATTTTTACTAGTTTGGCAGTATGTACAAAATCTAACTACCTAATAAATATTTTGGGATTATCAAACACTGGTTTCATATAGCAGTGTCGTGGACTAATCGTGTGCAGTCCTACAGATAATAAAATTTTAACTATATCAAACAACAAAGGTTTTATATATCCATTGAGCAACATACCACGTTATTATAAACATTTTCACAATTACCTACATTCTTTCAATTTGTCTAGAGCAAAATCGCGGTTCCAGCGGCCGTTGAACATCAATTCGTAATTCGATTTCATTACATGCTACAACAATAGTACTTTAAGTGTCTTCACCGACAATAGATGTTCAACTTACAACAATTTCAAGAGAAGCCCTAATTCTCTATAAGGGCCGCTTAGACGGTCCCGCACACCTAGTAACCTTATTCGATCAATACACAATACTATGAAACATTTTTTTACATTTTCCACTCGGACCCATCCCGAACATTAAAAGTATAACAAAACTCATTAACTAAATGTATTTAACACATATTTTCATCTTTGTTCAACGATGGCAAACCATATTTTTTTTACATAATAGTAACACAATAGTAGTTTAGGCTAAATAAAAATGTCTTATGTGGCACTTACACTCGTTTGTAATCAATAAATTAGTTTGTAACGGCTCGAGGGTATGTATCACTTAAGACACTGGCTTATAAGAAAAGAAAATCAATGATAATAAAAACGCAGATCGTGCATACATTAAATTACGAAAAAGAGAAAAATCTAACCTAAGTGTCAGCAAAAATATAGTGCAGTAAAAATTAGAATTGCCACTTAATTAACTTTCACATATAAATTGTTTTTTTTTAATCATAAAAAAATATATCTGTGTATAAAATGTGTCACCCAGGCATAACAGTAACAGCGGCGTGCGTATGTTAAAAGTTCGCCGCAGAAAAAGAATTTATTGACGCACTGAACGTATCAGTTCGCAGCATTTTGGCGGGAAGTTTGCTTTCATACGGCAACTTTCAACAAGATGGCGCCACAACATATTGTGTAGATAAAAGTTAATTCTAGTTCATATAAATGTTAGTATATTGTATGTTGTAAGCGTGTATATTGTAAATATTTTTATTTTATGTACTGTAAAGAGTGGCTATCAACGATTGCTCGACCGCGGACATGATTGGTACTTAATAATATAATACTTATACTTTTATATTAAAAGTTGTAAGTGCACTTTGAGTTACGGAACTATTTTTATGTTAACTAGATACTGTAGGCCTAGCAGATTTGTCACTATTGTTAAACAAATAAGAAAATCACAGCTACAAATATTGTTTGCATCAATAACATTCAACTGATAGACTTTTGCATTATGATATAGTTTTAAAAAGATGGAAGCCTAAAGTCACAAGAGGTTATACTACCAGAGAATGGTAAAAACGAGATTTCCATTAAACTTTTATGGTTTTTCAGTAAGTAGTATATTTTGTTTCTAATTACAACATTTATACAATGCCTTATTCAACGGTCATTCTAAAATTAGGTGTACTATAATAAACATGTATTCTTCGGTTGGAGGATACATTTTTTTTTGGTCATAGGTATGTGTTACTGTAAAAGGCCGTATATTAGTAAATTTTAGGTTTAATTAGTAAAGTAAGTAGGATTTACCAAAATGATTTTGTAAATGTAAAGATTTTATTAAAAAGATAATTTTCGGATTTTAACCAAACCTAAATCAAAAATATGCTGTGATTATTTTAGAGGCATGGTACCTAAATGTAAAAAAAAAAAATTACTGGCGCTATTAATAGACCTATGAGGGGGGGAAGGGATTGTTAGTAATGGAAACTACCAGTCCTATTGCTAGTAATATACGCTATCAAGTCGATCTCCACGCGGTTCCTTCTGGAAACCATCGTGCTGGATTCCAGGTGTGTTCACCATGACAGGCTAACTGACCTGGCTTTTCATCCTCACCTATCATCCCTCACTAGTGTCCAGCCAGTGTATACCGTTAGCGCTGGCGTGGCTACCATTCCATTATCATCCATTAAAGAAAAATAGAGCTATGAACATTTGTTGACGAAACAGTTCGTGTTATTGAAACAAACATTAAAAAAGAACAATCTAACTTTATTTAATTCTATTGTTGTAATAAACTAAGCGTTCTGTATAGTTGAGAAATCTGCTAAGTGAATCTTATTGGTAAACGACAATAAACGTAACTATGTATGTATATAGTTGAGGTACTATGGCTGGTTGGTTACTATTGCTACCGGCGATACGTTACATTATTTTACGTGGAAGATACTGTTATGAATATTAAAGCTATGTTTACATAAGATTAAATCGACTTTAATTATGAAAAAAAAAAAGAAAGAAATAAGTTTAAATGGAGAAAACCCGCAACATTTCAAATCGAGAACGCATTTTTATGTCTACATTCTCACTCACTAATTTTGTGGTTTTTTTTTTATTGTGTTAACTGGTTACTCATTTTATTAAAATTAAGTAGTTTTTTTTTTGTACAGATATATATAATTTAATTTGATAATAATTTAGAAATTGTTTAAATTTATTGAAATTTACATGCCAAAACCTTTGAATTTTGCATATTCGTTAAAGACTTATTGATTTTTGTAAAGTTATCAGATTTCTGCAATGAGCATCGCATAAAATGGTTATTTATCTAAAAGAGAAGTAGATACTTACATGGTAAGTATTTTTTTGATAAAGTAGTTTAATATTATTCCTTGGTACTAGTATTTTTTTTATTTTTAAATAGAAAATGATTATGTCATCTGTGGTATAAACGATGAAGTCGATTTAGTCTTAAAAAAAGAGTATCATTTCCTCGGTCGAGCATTTGTAATATTTCTTTATAATTAACTATTGTAGGTACTGGTAGGCAACACTTTTGTTTGTGTCAAGCCAATAGGTCCTAAAAGGCAAGAACCCAAGACAGTAACAACTATTAATAAAAAAAAAAAAAATGTCAAGCCAATGAACTTTACATAAACAGAAATGTTGCCGGTGAACTATTGCATTTTCTATATGGATATGATTCAACAAAAATAATGTTTGTGTATGGGAAAATATTTAACAAATGCTATAATAAAATTGATATTTACAATATAACTGTCTATTGGTAAATATGTCTTGGCTGGCTGGTAATACATAATGTAAACATCACGCCATGACCACAAAATCGGACAGGCGGATGGCTTGTTACGTTACATAACAAAAAAAAATAAAAAATAATGAATGGAGGTAATACTTAATCTTATAGAGGTAATACTTATATTATAAAAGCATTTAAAACAGATGTTTGTGAAACAGTTTGTGAACATGGAAAATTGATATAAAATCTATGGTCTACGGTAGGTATTTTTTTTTTAATTGCATTACAGATTATCCAATAAAAATGATAGAATGATACGTATTTTGATTTTATAAAAAAGTCGCAAAAATGATATTTTGAATACCTACCTTGAAAATGACATTAAGAGGTTGAGTATATATTTTACCTTTTTTACCGTTTTGGATCACGTCTTAAATAAATAACTCTCTATAGACAAAAAAGTCGACTTTAAGAGCTAGTGACGTACCCGATATAAGTATAAATTATGTTCTTTGTATATTTTCTGTGGTAGAAAAAAAGTAAATAGTGACATTTCGATATTTTTTTTTTACAACGCCTCAATGTCATTTTAGAGTCTAGCGTATTGGCATCTTATTTATATTTACCTAGTGTATAGGCTATTGTAATAGTTGTACTGTAAGAAGGCATTCCGTTGTTGATTATTTGTGCATTACCCTACTTAGTAACACAGTCGGTTTATAAAGTATTTCTCTGTTAAACTTAACATAATTAACTGGCGAAGAAGCGAAATTATATTGCGAACTTGACGGCGTATATTAAATTTACGAAAAAAAAAATTTCTCACTTTCATCTTAAACATTAAAAATGCAGTATTTTGGTATACATTGCAAAACATTGTAATCCTATTGTTAACGCTGTTCTTTTTTTAAATTTTGGGCGTACACACGCTACGGCCATTTTGAATTCCCTAGCTGCGATTGTTTTTTTTTTTTGTTTTTTTGCCGACACATATCCAAACTTAACATAGTAAAAAGACCTAACAACAATCACCAACGGCTGTCTCCGAAATTTTATGTAGTTCGCAGCTGTTCATTGAGATCAAATAATTTAGAATTACAAACACCAAGAAACGATACAAAAATTGGTGGGAAAAACCAAATAAGCACAGGGCAGCAACAATTCCAGTCGCGAACGCGACCGCCAAGTATTTGTACAGCGAAAACAATAAACACAAAACATTATAAACTTTATGGAGACTATACTAAGTTTCACTATTAATAAATCCATTAGTAGAATATATAAAAATCCTTTCCATTAATGTTTTCTATTTACTATATAGTTAATAATATCACGAGGCGTTCATTCCCAAACGATGCCGCGATACATGCGTAGTGTTTGTAGTCACTAACTTATAATATTTACAATTTAATCTACCCGCTTGCTTTTCTCTTCTAAGCTCCAGCTAAATGTTGTATTACGTTTTCGAACCCATGTTATTGCATTTACTAGAAAACTGAACCCTCACCTCGAAGTGTCGACGTTTTCTGAGGTCGTTCCATCTCTTTCTAACCACCCGAACGCAGCAGTAAGAATGAGATGGAACGTTCAAAAAACGCGGCAAGGGCTCTATCGCATACTTGCAAGAATAACATTCGATAAAAATTATAAAAAAACAAAATAATATATTTGAGGTATTATGAAACACTGGAGGTATATGCTTGTTAACGCAGGTATAGCCAGTTCAAAATCGAAAACTAACCCGCGGTATTAATTTTAAATTAACATCTATTTTTAAGTTGAGGTTATGAGAACTTATATTTTTAAACTATCTGGAAATAACCAAATAACTTTTCGTTATACTTAAATACATATCACAAAGTACGAATATGTAACATTCCGCGAGAATGAAAATAAAATACGAAAACTTAAATTATTTCCTTAACCCAAGTTACTTATATTGAAAAAAAAAAAATAAATGCAAAAAAATAATGTTGCTTTGAACGATCGAACGTTTTAAAAAAAATTGCATTGCATTCCTGTGTACAGAGCTCGTACAATTAGTATCAACGGTTTCTTTGAAAACTGTTTTAAAAACAGAATCACTTTTAGTGATTTGATATGTTCCAAATCGCATGGATAATGAATAATGTTGGATATGGCACAATGTATTCAAATTTTTCTCAACACGTTTAGAATTTTAAACTATTTCTTTTTTTTTTTTTAATTCATGTAAATAATTTACTGAAAATAACTGTTTGTAGATATTATCTCCGTTATGTTTCTTTGGCTTTGTGAAATATCACGGTGTTAAATACTTTATTTCATATGTAGGTATTCGTAGAGATATTTATTTTATGTGATATGTTGAACTAAGACTCGTTTAATTTATAATTGTCCGTTTGTTGAATATACGATATTTTTTTGTCAACGTTCACCCTGAGACGATATGTATGATTTGTGTCCCAAACGAATGCGGTTCCCAAGTAATTTCCTACATATATGTAAATAAAATAATTTTTATACAATCTGCAGCCATCTTATGGTTAATCCTATGATTTTTTTGAGAATATAATAATAATAATAATAAATCTAATAAATTTTCAATAACGTGACGTCCGCTACGTTGGTCGACATTTAAATAAGAGTCACTATACACTCATAGAGAGAAATCCGAAAATGGATACAGGTTAAATATAATTCTATCAATTAATACCTAATATCTACGTAATTTTATACAGAAGAAATGATTAAATTTTACTCATGATTCCAAATCATGCACACGTATACGATCGTCGAACCAGCACTATTCGAAGACCACGCACAGGCTCATGTGGCGTATCTCTATTCTCTACGTCGCTCTACTCACTCATAACCCTGTATTATAGGCCCTAGCCTACGGGGCCCAGTCACTGGAGCAGATCACCGTCCACCGGTCACTGGTCACCGGTCACCGGCCACCGGCCGCCGGCATCGTTCCTCGTTCACCGCCTCCGCTCTCCGTCGTCCGGCTTCGCAGATGCATTCGCACAACGCGCTAGTCTCCGAACACCATCCGTATATGGCATCAGACGAACGAAGGCACGGCTACTTATACATTGATGACTATTATTTAATGAAGCCAAACGCACATAGAATAGATTTATATTGTTCAATTAGACGTAATTTTGTACTTTCGAAATCAGATTCTAAGAAGTCTTTAGATTTTTACTCAACATCAACATTATTTTTCTTTTATTCTAAATTTTATTTTTGTAATTAATCCCTAAATAATCTGTATTTTTTTTTTATTTAGATTTGGCGTTCCGAAAAAAGTTACATTAAAAAATATTTTCTTTCCACTTTTAAATTTACTGTTTAAAATTTGTACGTTCTTTTTTTTGTACAGTTACCGAATCTAATTTGACACTAGACAATTATCGAAAAGTGTTTTTTTTTTTAAAAATGTATCTTCTCTTTAGAATACAGTTGGCATTATTTTGGCAGTACTAGAAATATTAATACTTTAGTATTGCTCTGGATTACATTGTCATATTGAACACTGTTTGAACATTTTCACTAGAAAATGCCAGTAACTTGCGTACTGTATTATTTATTAGTCACAAAGCGAAGTCCGACCCTCGAAGCGTACACTAGACGGCTGCTACGAGCCGCGTGCGAGAATACTGCATGTAATTTTAAACCTAACGTCAATATTTTACTAATTATAATACGATTAACCATTAAAATGCGGCAACGTCCAGCATTGTTTTGGCATTGTCCATTATATTGCACATTATGTTATGCTATCCCTTTCGTATCCGCGTCCATTTGGCCATATTTCAAATATTCTTGGTCCTCGTAGCCAAGTTTATTTGGAATAGGGAGTTTTACCACCGAATTTAAGCCATGGTCTGAGGTCATTGAAGACCAGGCGGCAGTTGCGGTCCATGGTCGCTGGCGCCCAAATCGAACAGGTGGTGCGGGGACGGCGCCAGGGCGCTGTGAAGGGCCGAGGTCTTCAGCAGCCGCTTCAGCATCCCGCTAGAGCCTCGGTGCTGGAGGCTCTTGTGCGTGGTCAGCGAGTTCTTGGTCCTGTACCTTCGGTGGCAGAACTCGCAGACGTACAAAGTATCGGACTGCTCATGCTTGTCTTGGAAGTGTCGTTTCAAGGAATAGTAACAAGAGAATGTCCTGCGGCAGTATGGACACTCTTGGGGCTCGTTGATGCCGCCGGCAGTTGGCGGAGGCATACGGAGGGGCGGGACAGCTGGAAATCAGAAATATCCATTTTCAAACATATTTTTATTCTGCACATATAATCAATCGACCGTATATGACCTGCGAGTAATCTGGGAAATTTTTGTTAGCTGGCAACACACACGAAACAGTTTATAAGACACAATTTTGAAAATCGGATGCATAGTCAAAGTTATTTTTATATGTACGTAGAATGTATGAGGTTAACAATAATAATTATAATTATTATAATACTAATAATATGCACTGTACACATTGACTAACTACACAGTAATCACGAGTTTTTATAATATTCAAAATCTTAGGAAATTCTTTCAACCACAATGACACAGAAACACGTGATAACAAAAATGATAGAAGCATGCTCCAAGCAACACAACAACGTCAAAACTGCGAAACCCGATGGGAGGTGGGGCCTTTGGCTTTGGGTCAATATAAAAACAAATAAAAACATAAAATGTCCAAAATCATAAATTCCAAAGAAACTGAATCAGTAAGAAAACTAAAAAGGACCTTAAACCCTATCTTAGACTAGTCAGTGAGAATATTATTGTTAATGAGTTAGCGTCATTTACCCTATGCTGTTCGTTGTATAAACAAGTTCTAACCTTTGTGAGTGATGCTAAGTACGGCGGTCGTGTGGAGATTGGTCTCATGGTTCTCTTTGCTAGATGAATACTGCCGCACGCCGCGCCAACTCCGTCCGAGTAGTCACTAAAAAAACCGGATATGTTCCGTCTCGCCCGGCCTCGACTTGTGGTAGGTGTATATATGCGTCATCAGGGAGTTCCTGGAGCAGTAGACGCGTTCGCATATCGTGCACCTGTACTCTTCCTGCCTCTCCGCGTGTTTGTCGGCGATATGTCGCTTCAGCGATGCCTTCGAACACAGAACCTTCCCGCATATTGAGCACGTGAATAACTTTTTACCTGTAAACAGATCGGAAAACAAAACAAATATGGGGTTGGTCCCCGTACGCGCTCAAATAAAACACGTCACCTAACTGGGAGTCTAGAATTTTCCAATGGCAACATTCAAAGGTTTTTACTGTTGCCTTTTCAAATTGAGAATTTCGAACTAAAAATAATAATAATAACAGTGAAATAAAGTGACTAAAATTATAAAAGAGTGAAATAATAATTAAAAAATAAAATTAAATAAATAAGAAATGATGGCGAAGCTACAGTAGCCGATGACAGTGTTATAACGAACATGCAGGAGGCGGGAAAGTATATATTCGGCATAAAATCAGAGACAATGCAAAGCTCACTCGGAGGTAAAAACGAAATTTGTGAATGTGTCAAGCTAAAGTGGTCTACAGAAGCTATATATTGTGCCAAACGGTGGATGCTCGCGCGGGGTGGTCAATAAAACTGACAATATTGTTTTTGTGTATTTGTTTTTATTAAAAACGCCATTATCATCAATATAAGGATTTATGAAGTTCGGTTTAACTATTACAATTACATTTTATGAGTAGTTACGTCAAGTATTCTTTAATAAAAGTAAGGAAGGAATAGAACTATTTATATAATATTAATAATTATGTGATGTTATTCGTTTTGATAACACTCCCTAACGGTAGTTGCAGTCCATTTAATTCTATTGCAGATGCCAAAGACTGTATTAGAAACTTTTTTTTTTTATATAACCAGAGAGTACTACTCTTATATTAGTAGGTAGGACATTTGCATCTGAAATGGAAGACAAAAAATTAAGATCCAAATATTTTGGCACGATAGCAAGTTAAATGTAATGGACTGCATTACACAGATGCCAATTGTCAACAAAAAAACTTAAGTATGGATAGTAGAATAATAATTAATTTAAGGTAAAAAAAAAAAAAATAAAATTTCAATACAACAACCAATAATTTAATTTAGATCCCTTATAAAATAAGTAAAAATGCCAACAAGTAAAAGAACACATTGAACAAGGTGGGCGTCCACTGAAGTGACGCATAGAAAAAAAAAAATCACCTTAACTCGATAGAAAGTAAAAACTTAAACAGGTCACAGAAACAGTCTTAAACTTGCTAAGAGACTATCTAATGTAGTTTTGACAGGGATGTGTTCTGCTCCTTAGAACACGGTGTAGTTCTCACCCATTAAAACCCAGAAGGACCTATGGCCCTTTGAGATCCCAAAATAACTTAGCACCTAACAGCATCAAATAAAGATCACGATCACATTAATTTTTTTCGAATAATAATACAAAGGAAGTTCACGCTTCGACACATCGCCCTTGCAGCGGTTTTATAAAATTGTTAATTTAGTAAATAATGTACATTTTTTATCTATAAAATATGCCTAATAGTGTACAATTCAAACGCGTACTTAGTCTAATCAGTCTATAGCGCTTATTAGATTTTGGCATTTTTTTTTTCTAAACCAGAGACAACGTCTTTTTTTTTTTAATTAAATAAATAAATTCACAAGTTCTCCATAGTGCTATGATAGAATAGCCAAATTATGACCGTACTGCCAACGCAGCACATCCCTGTAATCGTAAATTAAACATATAGAAGCTATTAACTATATGAATTCAGATAAACCTTACTCGCTAGTTAGTCAACTAATTTAATTCCCAAACCCAAATTAACAAGAAAAATCTATTACTAAAATTACTAGACAAAACAACAAACGTACGCCTCACGTCGAACATTGCAACATTTGCAAATAAAAACTTAACATTTCTCATACGGAATGTTGCGAAAGAAAATTTAAATATACCATTCGAATTTTGAGTTTTAATTTCTTCATCTTCTTTTTTTTTTTCTTTTCTTACAATTTCTCTAACAATGTTCCAATTTAGCACCAAAACACTAGTCTTCCAATTTAATAATAAAGCTTACTAAATAACTAAACAAATTGTAAATGGCTAAGCGTTTATGTATCTAGTAATAACAACACAATCTTATAACATATAGCATTAAATTTATTTTAGGAAGCCTCTCGTATGTTAGTTTAAAATATAAAGCACTGATCAATTACTAGGTAAGTGAGAACGTGTTTCCAACACTACTCTTAATTTTTAGAAGTTTTCGCAAAATATGTCTTTTTTTTTTCAATTAAAAAAAGAAAACCACAATAATCATGTAAAAGCAGGCACTAATAATTACTTAGAATGTAACTATTGTTTTACAATAAATTATGTATTACATTTACACTTAAGATTCCTTATTGCTATTATAAAAGAAATATAACAAATGATTTACGACACAGTAATTGTCGATAATGTGATGTATATTGAACTAGAATAATGTTTATAGGTACAACGAAACGTCGAGCTGTAGCAAGTTTGCGGGCGCCGCGACTTTCAACCTAATCGGGTATTGACTTAAAGCTCATTGTCAAAAAAACGACCGGCCACTGTTATTATGTTTTATACATTAGCGTCGACAAGTCGCGGTGTCCGTAACTACAGCGATTACTACTATTCATGGCAAGCAAAATATCAATAAAAGTCCAGTTGAAAATATTAAAATATTATAAGTTTTAAAACAAAATTCACACTGTTCAAATTTAGGAACATTTAACATTGAGAATTATTAAAATTTTATACTATTACCTATTTATGTATTTTATATAATAATAAATGTGTAATTACAAATTGTACAACGAAACAGCAACAAATGTAGTAAAGTATATATAGTACATAATTGCAATAAAGTACCTAGTAAGTTGTATATAAATAAAATTAAAAATGATAAGTCACCGAAGAGAATTTAACGAAACAATAATAATAATTAAAAGAACGAACACAAGATTTTAATAAGACTATATTTAAAAAAAAATGTAACTAAAATCTGACTAAACTAAAATATAATAATAATATAGCCATATCATTCGTTAAAAATGGCACCTTGCGATTCACTTTGCTAAATAATGCTGTTGTGTGCATTTATAGAAATATGGCGAAAGTCGTAGAAGGAGACAGAAGGAGTCGACAAAGTAATAAAATAAACTCCTATTGAATACGTCGACTTTAGAAAAAAAAAAGCAAAAGTAAAGAACTGTGTATGTGTGTATCGCTGTTGAATGTATGTATATCTTGAGCCAGAATTGGTATGCACCAACAATTGTGATAACACTGTAACCAAACCTTAAAACAATAGCATAAGGTTTAATTTCATATAAATTACAATCGTTGATGTAGTACCAACATTCAAACATTGCTATGTGGGGGGTATATATAAGTCCGGTTTATTATTTTTCATTTGCTGTGACAAGTGCTCTCTGCGGATAAATTTTCTTAGAACCAAATCCGAATAGTTTCCGTCTGTTGGTGCTATGTCCTGAACGATTCAGTCTTACATTCAATAAACAAAAACACCTAACTTATAAAAGAAAAAAAATTTTATAAAGCCTCATAAGCCAATTATATATTCGTGTATATAATTTTTTTTTTTAAATATTTTTAATATAGATTTTAATAATCTCGTATAAATATCTAAGAGTGAGATCATGCAGGTAAAAATACAGAGAATAAATAAAATTGCAAAACGCCGAAAAATGAACACAATGTTAAAACAATATGCCTCTTTTGTTACTTATTCGAACACTGTTCTTTTTTTTTTTTATAAATTTAAGCCTAAATATATAAATTTACAGCACCAAGATTTTTCATCTTTTCTCAAAATATTTCTTTTTTCTCTTCGCCTTATTGTCACACATTAACATAGTGTAAAAAGTCAAGGTTGTCACGTACCGCAGTATTGCACTATACGGGGCGCTCGCACGATCGTACATAACTTTTAGAGAAAATAATTATTTATAGCAACAACGATCAGGCCGCCCTCTCGTGTCAGTGGAATGTCAGTGAGTGAGCCACGAGTCTCGACGAGCGATGGACCCCATTGTCATGGTCGATACTGGTCAAGATTCTACAAGTTCAAAGTTCATAAATAGAAAATAAATATTTTATATAAATCTTAACATAGTAACATAAAATATATCAACGAATCCCGCTATTGAGATAAAAAAAATATTTAAAAGGTATAAAATAAAGGATATTAAATTAAAAAAATAGATGCGAGTCATCGAGACGGAACCCCGTTTAGACATTGAACTGATCTTTGAACTTGTAGAAGTCGATGTTGTGGTGGGGCATGTTGAGCTTAGTGTCGGGGCTGGTGGTGAGGTTCTGCGGCTGCGTCTGCTGCGGCAGGCCGCGCTGGCGGCGGTGGTAAATGCTCTTATGGTTGTTGAGCGAGTTGAGCGTACGGAACACCTTGTGGCAGAGGCTGCAGCGCGCCGAGTGCAGGGGCTGCAGGTGCTGCTGCTCCGTGTGCCGCTTGAGCGTGAGCCGCGTGGACAGCAGCTTGCCGCACACCTCGCATCGGTGCCCCGCGCCCAGTGGGCCCACTGCGCCACACATAACAACCAACATTAGCGCATTAGTCAACAACACAACCCTAAACCCCAGAGAAGTAGGGTACGCTCGTATCGTATCCAACACCACTGCGACCGCTCGCATCCAACAGGTCCCAAATAGAAGGAACCAATTGGCACAATTTGTACCACGACATTAGGGTGGCAAATTTTGAGAACCTGGGCTGTAGAGGCAATTTAACGTGCTCATAATTGACTAATGCGCTTGATTCGAACAGTTGGTGGTTATGCGTGTACCGATCATAGATGTCCCAATTGGTTCCAGATAGGCAAGGTGGGTCATGCGAGCGGAGCGCCGTCGGGCGACGAGAGCGTCGACGTCGTCGACGGGCTGCGCTCGCGACAAGCGTTAGTTACGTCCATTAGTTATAATATAGGTACATTATACATACATATATATATTATAAAGTTTGCGATGCGCATGCAAAGTACATGTATAACTATGCTATGTACAGAGTTAGGAACATATCGCGTTACAGTTTCGTTTTCAACTTAATAAAGATCTACGGGCAAGACTATGGCGTTTGGGTGGTTAGGATGGCAGCTCGGTTCCTTCGAATGGCAACGTGTTTTCATATGGCAACGTGTTTGTGGGAGGGCGCGGGGCGCGCGGCGGGCGTCAGTTGACGGGGTAGAAGGGCCCCTGGCCGGCCGAGGCGGACGGTTGCTGCTGCTTGCGGTGGTAAATGGACTTGTGGTTCCTTAGGCTGTTCAGGCTGGAGTACACCCGCCGGCATATGTTACACACTGGCTCCCGCGACGGTCGCATGTGAACGTTCTGAATATGCCGTTTGAGCCGCGTGAGGGAGGACAAGCTCTTGTTACACGGCTCGCATCTGTAATCTTCTTGGGGGGTGCGGGCGCCACCTGGTCACAACACAAGCAGTTAGCCCCATCGAAGCTTCCGAACGCAGTTTTAATGCACTCTCCATATCGTAGCCTCTCTTTGTATGTAAGCACCGCCACCCCCCTTTACATTTGATGATAGCCGTCCGTCGCGCCGTTTATTTAAAATGCCAAGCGGTATTAGTAACGCAAATAATTTTGTTCGACGCCTAATGACAGGCAGGTAGCTTAGTGAAGCTTACAATAATGGATGTGTGATGACTGTTGGTCTGTGTTTCGTAACAACCGGCACGACCGCGACGGCCACTTCTCGTGTGTCTTCAACAAAAGCGTTAAATTCTTCAATGGAATATCGATCGCATATTTAAACATAAACTGACACCACGTTACCATTACTAAAAATCCATTGTCCAATCTTGAATGTACCCAGTTATTATTTTATTTTACACGTTATTTCAATTCCCAAGACAATATAATATGATCGAGAGTAATTCGAGAGCGTATTTAGAAACATGAATGAATCATAAGATCAGCTATGTCACGTAAAGTAAATACAACTGGTCCGGATACCGTTCTAAGTTTACACCGACGAATGATTGAGTTTCTTGGAAACTAATTTTGAAAGGTCTTCTTTTGTATTTCATTATCTTATATCAATTGGAATGTTAATGTACTAAGTTCTTTAAATTTACAGCCAATTATTACAAAATTAGGTGCATTTTAATTACAATTTTTCTCATACTAAATGATTGGTATGGTCAAAAGAATAATAAAAAAAAAGATAAAGTTTGGAAATAAAAAAAAACTAAAGAATTGCATAAAGAATGTTGATAACAGAACCAATCTAATTGGAGAATTGGGATCGAGGGGTTTACCTAGCACACATTGTTCAAGTCACATCTAGAAACAAGCTAGCATATCTTCTTTGTTTAATAGGTATACATTAAACTATGGTTACAATACAGTAAACATGCATGCCACATTGCATTTTGGTTCAATGATCAACAAGATCACAGACGGGTCACATATTTGAAACTGAACAGCGAAACAGTTACAGGCGAACCTAATTTGCTACTCCATCGAACCAAAACACAAAAAAGCTGACATTAATTATTTAATACAGAACACAGAGCATAAAATGAAGACATATATAGAGGTTAAAAGGAGATATAGTTAGATACATATAATAAGATATATTATATTATGTCACGTGATAATTGCCTCATACATTTTGTAAAAATATAAAACCTAGTAATGATATATAAACCTAATAATGACAGAGCAGAGAGGAAGCGGTGATGGTGGCATACGACAGACAGTGCATTAAAAATATCGTTTATTTCAATATATGTAGTTAATGCATAAAATAAACTTGTTGCTAGACAAGCTAACACTCACCTTGAGACGTGCTCGCCATACCATCGGGCGCCAGTGGACTCTGCAGACCTGGAAATGTCATAACATTCCTTATGCATTCGTCTTCTATGCCTACAGGGTTCATGCTGAAGCCTACATTTCGTTATTTTTTTTTTTTGTAATTTATTAAACAACACACATCACAAATAGGATAATGAAGATATTCACCAGCCAATGAGGATTCAGTCAGTGCAGCCATGGTGAAGTTGTAGGATGGAAATTTGCTCTCTGGTGGGACGAACGGCGATGGTGGCAGCGGCGGTGGTGGTGTACGGTCGTCGGCCTCGGCCGAGCTGCCGCGAGATGGCGGGCCGCCTCCCTGAGACACAAGCGTATAAGCATTAAACACTAGCGATACGCTCCGGCTTCGCACATAGTAGTTCGCTCCGGATAGTTACATAGAAACATAAATTAGTATTTTATATTAAATCTAATTATAATGAAATTACTTATTTCTATGTTGGCAACATTTATTTATATAAACTTTACAGACCAATAAAATGTGGTATACACACATACATTCATTTTGGATGAAACTGTTACAATTGTTTTTTTTTCTTTTTTAATTTTATATTCTATATATATAAATATTGTGTGTAACTACACACAACACATTATAACAACGAAACTTCGTTGTTATAATTTTTAATATATTAATTTTTTTTAACCCCTGTGTGGGTGTTGTCTCATATTTCTGTTTAAAGTTTCTGAATAAAGTTTCTTTCTTTCTTTCTTTCTTTCTTTCTTTCTTTCTTTTTGGTATAAAAGGCGAAGTTAATTCTTTAGACATTCAACCTTTAAGATATTCAGATGTACTCGATTATTATTATTAGTAATTGTTATAAATAACATAAGTTTTGTTAAAAAATTGCATCGAACACAAAACTGTTTTGGTATGGTGCTGTCCCATTCGTGTTTCTGCCGTGAAACAGTTGTGTTTGCATGACTGTGTTTCGCTCTGAAGGGTGGGATATGGCAGTGAATTTATAGGGTACAGAGGAATAACACCTGAGTCCTAAGGAATGGTAACGCATGGGGGGTATTATAGGCGAGACAGTACACTCTGTTATGTCCATGGTACTGCTCATGTCTATAGGCGACGGTTACCACTTTCCATCAGGTGGGCCGTCAGCTTGTTTGCCATTCTAAGTTGTATAAAAACTCTAATGGATGAACTTATAATGGAAATAGGGTTAATCATGTGACACTGTTAATGTATTTAATCATGAAGGTACTTTCATGACACTAATTACGTGTCATTCGTAAATTAAATTAATTTCATAATATAAATTCGACTTTATAACACGTTGTTTTAAAGCCGAACATGCATTAAATAATTAAGATTGTATTTTACAGAAAAAAAATTGTAGCAAAGTTTGTTATTTTGAATTAGAAAATAAATTACTGAACTGCATTTGATAAAATTCCTATAAGACCAAACTGTAAGTACATATATCCGTTTAGATAAAGAGTTTTTCAAATCAGTTTACAATAGACGGAGTTATGAAGAAACAAACAAACAATAAAAAATACAATTAAATTGAGAATTTACTTCGTTTTGAAGTCGGTTGAAAATTAATTTAAATATATATATATATCAATAAGAAGAGCCTCATCAGCAATTCACTAAAATTATAAAAAAAAACGACCCCTCTAGAGACCTAGGTATATATTTTAATTCTGGCCAGCTATTGGGAACAAAAGTGCCCAAGTAATTGAAGTTGGTGTCTACGGCCAAAGCAATTCTGTGCTCATTTCTCTCAAATCAAATTAAAAATGTTGGTTATTAAGGAACTTCGGTGTCGTCAACTATTAAAGTTAGTATTCCAATCTAACTTTGTACGCGGCGCGGCGCATTTTTCTCTCTTTAGCGTTACCTTCACAAAATACAAATAGGGCACCGTCTTAATGCCAGTTCGGATATATAATTATAGAAAACAATTTTCTAGGGTCCCGTACCAGGGAAAGGGAAATCGAACCCCGACCTTTTTTTCTGAATGTAAATTTTTGAGTTATTAACTTTTTTATTTATTTATTTATTTAAGGAACACCAACAGCATATTGCATTATAACATATAGGTATAACAAACATTAAATATAATACAATATTAATGCACATGCCTATTATAGGTATTCACAGCATTCACTTTAACATAGTTATATAGTGCGAGAAAATTAAGTAAATAAAAATAAACATGCAACCTGAGTTGTGAGCAAAATCAGAAAATACGATTATGAGTGAATTGAATTAAAAAAAAATATTAAAAAAAATATATATTATGATAATTAGAGTTAATTTTCATAAGACTTGTTCATCATCTTCCTACCTTTATCCCAATCATTTGGGGTCGGCGTAATATGATTTTATCCATATTACAAAAAGATTTGGTTTTTAGTTTTACGACCGGCCACCTGCCTGACGTCAACCCTCTTTGGGAACCTTCTTTCATAAGACTTGTTATTAATAGAAAAATTTACAATTCTGAAATCTGGATATTTTGTTTAGATTATTAAATTTAAAATTGAATAATTTTTTCAGGGACAAGGTCCTATATCAGCATGATTATTATACCAGCCTTTAACTGTCCACTGCTGAACATAAGCCTCCTTATTGGGGGGTTTTGCCAGTAGTTGCCACGCTTGGCAGGCGGATTGGCAACCGCAGTTAGACTTTAGAGATGTTTTAAGAGGAGCCTAGCATTCGCCCTCTCTTAGTCGCCTCTTTCAACACCCACGGGAAAGGAAGGATTGGCCTATTCTACGCCTGGACCACACGGCCAATCCTATATATCTGGGGGGGAAAGGATTGTTAGTAATGGGGACTAATGGCCCCATTACTAGCTAAGCCCTGTCAGGTCGACTTCCACGCGGTCCCCACTGGAAACCATTGTGACTAATACTTGTTGCATTCGTCATGATGGGCCAACAAACCTGCTTTCATTCTTATCTATCATCCTTCACTGGTGCCCCGCCGGTGTATACCGTTAGCGCGGGCAGGGTTACCATTCCATTATCATCCATTAAAGAATCCTATACATCCTATATATACAGGTTCTATATATTAAGAATTTATTATTATTATTTTAAAAAAAATGTCCTTGTGACCAAGATATGTTTACCGATAGGGATAAAAAAGCCTATTTCCTTCGCCACCCCATATAGTACGTACATTCTAAATTTTATAGTAATTGATTGGGCTCCATATAATATGGTTCAACACAATAATGGCTGACTGACCCGTCATACTCGTGAACGGGTGCTTCTAGTAGGGACTGGTCTGTTCAAGAATACTGTGATTGCTTGTAACTTGGTAGCTTTTTATTTGCTTTTTTTTCATCAATACAAAGTTTGTGATAGTCATTTTATTCTTTCATATTTTTCGTTTAAAAATTAACTTTTATTAAAAAAAAAGCAACAGCTGTGTTTCATCTGCGTTCTTCTCAGCTGAAATATAATGAAGCTGCGTACCGAACTGGATGGTACATTCATAAAAAAAAAATGATTCTAAAGTTTACTTAAAAAAAATGTGTGATTGAAAAATTTCTTGTCGCCATTTTGGTCTCTATTTAATCGTACCTAGACTAAGCTGGCGGGAATTCTAATCAATTCGACAGATCGTTTACTAAAATTAAAACTACAATACTAAAACGGCACTAACGGCGGGGTCGCTTTATCGCTCGATTATTCGTCACACGAACTCGAGTGTCAATCTGTATGTCAGACATTTGATCCGCGCCGAGTTCCGGGTATGAATTCTAGCTCGCTAGACGTCTAATACTTGGTAAAACTTAATGTCATTCCATGTTTATTTATAAGATTTAATTTTAAATCTGTTTGTTTGTAATGACTATAAATTATATACTATATAACTAAAATATACTATATAAAAAAAGGAAGAGGAAGAACTAGGAATGGGACAGATAAAGGAAACACTAGGCGTCATGTCGTATAGGGAGATAAAGGATATGGCCTGGGATAGAGCTGGCTGGAGGAAGATGCACGAATTAGTTGCATCGACAAGAGGAAACTCTTAAATGAAAAGAAAAAAGAAGAAGAAGATAACTAAAATATACAGTAACAACAATAAGTTAAGAACAAAGTTAGCAAAGGCGAACTTATTTCTAAAAGAGATTTCTTCCGGTCAACCTAACACAGTGGCACAGGAAGCAGTGAGTGGGCAGTAGTAGTGCTAAACAGAAATTAAAATAAATATTTACATAAATAATAAATCACACATACATATATATATGTAAATTATGTATGTATTTATGTATTCCATGCCATTTTGAGTCGTTTTAAAAAATCCTATCTCCTAAATCTGGTATATACGTCTAGCAGTTCCTTCAAGAAAAAAAAAAATAATTCTATCTTTCCAATTTTATTTAAATATAATTTATTAGAAGACTGTCATTATGTATTAATATTGTATCTTTCAAATATATATATATATATATATATATATATATACACATACAGGGTTAATGTTAAGTTTCAATCTAGTGGACTTGTTCTTTTCGTGATCATTATTCCAAGTTTCTAGTATTCCAAGAATCATCATCAGCATCGTATTAGTTGTTGCACTGTCCACTGCTGAAAACAGGCTTCTCCCATAAAGTTCCGACAGTAGTTGCCACGCTTAGCAAGCAGGTTGACAACCGCAGTTAGGCTTTGGTGATGTTAGGTTTTAAGTGGGATGTTGCTACCCATCTTTCGACCTTAAGTTCCCTTAGTCGCCTCTTAATACACCCACGGGAAAGGAAGATGTGGCATTTTCTATGCTGGGACCACGCAGCTATGTATGTATAGTAATATTATAGTTAAAAATTAATCTTTAAGATCTTCGTGCCCCCCCCCCCCCCCCCCCCCCCCCCGATGAACGATAAAAAAAGTTTGTATTTATGAAAACAAGCTTATCCGTGTGGTTCCGGCATAGAATGGGCCACCCCTTCCTTTTCCGTGGGTGTCGTAAGAGGCGACTAAGGGAGGGTGAGGGATGGGCAGCAGCGTCCCTCTTAAAACATCTCTAAAGCCTAACTGCGGTTGCCAATCCGCCTGCCAAGAATGGCAACTACTGGCAAAACCGCCCAAGAAGGAGTCTTATGTTTAGCAGTGGACAGTTAAAGCCTGATATGTATGAATGAATAGCTTATCATTAGGCGAATCGTATGCTTGATTGCTACCACCGTTACAAAAAGAACATTTAAGCATAAAAGTCGAATACCTATGTTTGTATAGTTTGATTTCTTTGTAGCACGATTCAAGTAAGGAAATAATGTCATAGTTTCTATTTTACGGCCAATATAAAGAGTAATTTAAGTAAAACTTCGCTTCTGAAACGCTTTTCCTTTATGAAATAGTTACAAAGGGAGGCCTGCGGTTACGGTTTATGGAATACTTTAAACTTGCAAATAAATCAATTTGTTATATTATTATTGTTATACAATTAAGTCGCAGTTTTAAAAGACTTTGTACAAACGTCGATTGCTTGGGTTTCTTCTGTCCCATTCGTGTTTCAACCGTGAAGCAGTTGTGTTTGTATAGCTATGTTTCGGTTTGAAGGGTGGGATATGGCGTGAATTTACTGGGTACAGAGGGATAACACCTGAGTCCTCAGGAAAAGCAACGCATGGGGGGTATCATGCGTGAAACAGTATATTCTGTTATGTCCATGGTACTGCTCATGTCTATAGGCGACGGGTACCACTTTCCATCAGGTGGGCCGTCAGCTTGTTTGCCATTCTAAGTAGCGTAAAAAAGTAATTTCACGTACATGGAAAAATAAGTAAAACTTATCAACTTACAAGTGCTCTGTGATGGGTGTGTGGCGGCGTATCGTCCGTGCTTCGGTCGATGTCAGCATTCGGCACGCATATCATGTCCAGTGGTTCGTTCTTCACCTCGTCCATTAGCCGCGGTGATGGTGATGAGCTGCTATTCGATATCCCATTGCCGTTGTTCCCCGGCTCCACGTGGCTCCTCGTGTTGTTCACCAACGAGTGATTTTTTGTTGAGAAATCGTGCACTTGGTTCTCGGTATTGTTGTTGTCGTGGCGGGGGCGCTTGATGACGTCGGGGGAGTTGTCCGCTGAGCGGCTGATGCGCCGCGGCGGCAGGGGCAGCCGGCGGGAGAACGGGCCGCCGTGGGAGAGAGCCTCCTCGAGTTTCTCGGAGTAAGTTGGCGTGTGTGCGGTGTGGGGTATGTGCGCGGGGTGGGGCGGTGTGTGCGGGGAGGGCGCTGTTGTTGCACGCAGCGTCTGCAGCAGTGGCTGTGGACAAAATTGCTTTGATATAGTTCCTGGATATATAATCCTGTTCTGTAATGTATAATTATATGAATATATCAAGTATTGCTTTATTTTTCCTCTATTCAATAATACACCGCCTTTGGGAGGAAAGGGACTGTTAGTAATGGAGACTGAGAATCCCATTGCTAGCAATATACCCAACCAGGTCGACCTCCTCGCGGTTCTTCCTGGAAACTATCATGGTTAATTCCTGATAAATTCATCATGATGGGCTAACTGGCCTGTTTTCATTCTCATCGATCACCCTTCACTGGTGCTCCGCCAGCGTATCCTGTTAGCACAGGCGAAGTTACCATACCATTTTTACCCATCAAAATAAAATGGTTGACTGGTAGAGAACACCGTGAGGTGTTAAGTCCGCCATATCTACATAGAATTATGTTGTACATTAAAGTTTAAATAAATAAATAAACATAATGTATATATGTTCATAATTGTAATGCCTATAGGAGAAGTCAAAGGGATTACTCGACCATTATCATTATTGACAACTTGTTTTGAGACTTTATTTTATTCTGAATACGTAATAAACGAATACAAAAACTATTTTATATACCGATATATAATAATAATTTATCATATGATAATCCAATTGTCCGCATGTGTAGAATGTATAATCTTTCCACTATTTATTTATTTATTTATAGGAACAACACAGGGACGTAGCTAGACCCACGTTTAAGGTAGGGCATAAGAACTTTTTGGTGGGGCAGAAGCTATAATTAAGTGACTACGAAAAAGCGAATCTGTCTAATTTTCTTGGAGCCTTTCATTTTAATGTAGGGCACAGCCCCTTAATGCTCCCTCTCCCCCCTGCTACGGCCATGGATCCCGAACCTAGAGACTCTTATAGTAGAGTATTGCCCTTCAATGCCCTTCCTCCTTAACTACGGCCATGGATCCCATAAGATATATAAAATATACATAGAGGGCTATAGATTTACATTTGTTAATTGTTTATTGGCACTATGTGGCCCAAATTATATGAAATATACTAAAATTATAATATTTTTTATTTAAATCTATTAGAAAAGTAGTCTTTATTGCTTTTTAGAATAAAAACTTCAATGTAATATCAAATTGGAATTTTTATTTTACAGGCACACTTAGAGAAATTGCATCACAGAGTCGATCCCTATATATATATATATACATATTTCTACCTATTACCCGTCTCTAAGATTTAATAACTTATTAGTCTTTGACATATAATACGTATCACTATCCAATATGATGCCTACGGCCACTTTCTATCATCGTACGGCTCGCCATCGACAGGGAGTTGACCCTCATATCCTACAGCCTAATGGTCGCGTACATCGCGGTTTCAGAGATGCTTTCTCCCACGAACACTCAGGTTACAGAATGAGCTCCCTGCCGAGGTTTTCCCAAAAGACTACAGCGTGGGTTTCTTCAAAAGGGGGGTAAAGAGGTTTCTTCAGGGTCAGCAACGCGCGCGTAATACCTCTGGTATTGCAGGCGTTCATAGGCTACGGTAACCGCTTGCCATCAGGTGGGCCGTATGCTTGTTTGCCACCTTAGTGGTATAAAAAAAAATAACACGTTCGAAATAAAAACACCTAGAGTGCGATGCTTTTAGAACAATTACCGAGACATTTTGCATTATAGGTATATAAATATAACGTGTGGGTAATTTCGCCTAACTGTATTACATATCTGTTTTACGTAATCAGCACATTAGTGATAAATATCTATGTAATAGGTAGAGATTATAGTATTATTTATACCTAATTGATTTATAAATAGTGTGATTTGATATTCGTTTAATTTTCGTCACCATCATGACTTATCGTCAATGTATTATGAATAGTATAATTATTTATTAATTATAACAAATATGGAATACTTAAAAAAACATGTTAACTCCTATTTTTGTTGCTCTGTGTACAGCGCCTTGTATCTATATTGTTGCTACTTGTGAAAACCTATTAGTGGCTTATTTTGTGATCCTAAACTGTATTTTTTTGTTCTAGTGTAGCCCTGGTTTTCCTATGAATAAATAAATAAATATATTATTAGGGTTTCTTCAGGGTCGGCAACGCGCACGTGACAACCCTAGCATTGCAGGCGTCCATAGACTAGTCACCGCTTACAATCAGACGGGCTATATGCTTGTTTGCCACCTTTGTGGTATAAAAAAATATCTTTATATATTTTTTGTTTTATAATGAATTAATTAGAATAATAAAATAATGAGTAATAACTAGTCAAGTAATTTTTAATTTAAATACACGAGTAGAGCTGATATATAATGTATGATTACATCATCATCATCATCACCGTATCGGCCATTATCTGTCCACTGTCGAATATAGGTCTCTCCCATAGACTGCTAAAAGGCAAGACACGATTCCATGCTTATTGGTAAAGGTAAAAAGTATTGGGGGTATCATGGGCAAAACAGTATACTCTGTTATGTCCATGGTACTGCTCATGTCTATAGGCGACGGTTACCACTTTCCATCAGGTGGGCCGTCAATGTTTTTATTGCATGGGAATCGAACCGGGGTTAATTTTAACTTTCGCGTTATTTAAACATATTTTAAATATACAATCGGGACTTAACGCATTGGAAAAACTTTACAGGTAAATAGTACTAACATACTTGCTTTTTTATTGCCGACATTTCGCCGGGGATTGCACCATGTTGACCTATCTTGATCCGTTTGTGTACTTAGAATACATTGGAAAATGTGTTAAAGAAGTATATACACCACTTACCCCTTGGACATCCTCGTTCTGTGTGAGCCCGGAGACCCGGAGGACCTCGGCAGTCTTGAGGAAGGAGGAGAGACTTCGCTGGTGCACGTTCACCTCGCCGTGGTATATGAACTCGACCAGCGCGTGCAGGTCTGTGAACGCCACGTCCTGCAGCACGATCACTGGGTGCTTGCACGGTGTCGACTGTACAGACATTAGGTTATTGTTAGTTTTTTTTTTTTAATTTACGACAGCTAGGTGCTTGCACGGTGTCGACTGTACAGACATTAGGTTATTGTTAGTTTTTTTTTTTAATTTACGACAGCTAGGTGCTTGCACGGTGTCGACTGTACAGACATTAGGTTATTGTTAGTTTTTTTTTTAATTTACGACAGCTAATAAGTTATGTATGTAGGGTTCACGTAATTTTAAATTATTATATAAACTCTCTGTTATTGTAACTATATATCTTTTACGTTTTACCAAAGGGGTTGTACAAAGTCACAAAAGTCGATTGCTTGGGTACCTCTGTCCCATTCGTGTTTCTATCGTGAAGCAGTTGTGTTTGCATGGCTGTGTTTCGGTTTGAAGGGTGGGATATGACGTGAATTTACTGGGTACAGAGGAATAACACCCGAGTCCTCAGGAATGGCAACGCATGGGGGGTATCATGGGCGAGACAGTATACTCTGTTATGTCCATGGTACTGCTCATGTCTATAGGCGACGGTTACCACTTTCCATCAAGTGGGCCGTCAGCTTGTTTGCCATTCTAAGTTGCATAAAAAAAAAGTAATTTCAGCTTTTAACTATCCGCTAGAAACGGATTTGGTACATGGTAGTTGTTGTGTCAGCTGTCCACTGCTGGACATAGCCTCTCTCATGAGGGTTTTGTTAGTAGTTGCCACGTTTGGCAGGCGGGTTGGCAATCGCGGTTTGGCTTTTGGTGACGTTTTAATAGGGACCACAAGCTCCCTTAATCGTCGATTACGAAACCCACGGAGAAAGAAGAAAGAATTCTATGTCAGCACCTCTAAAGCTATCTTATATATCAATTATTAATTATGACTGTATGTTTATATATTAAATAAATAAAAAAAAATGCATAAAATTGCATATAATTTTTATTCATTCACTCGATGTTTCAACATTTGTTTTTATAGTTTCACGTTTTTAGATTTTTACAGCATTCCGTTGCAGTTTTAAATATGATATCATAGTATTTTTTATCCAAAAATATGACAATGAATTTGTATCGGCGATTTTTGTATTTATATTTAAATTTATAGATTTGAGAATAAAAATATAAAAAGCTTAAATTTATTAATTTATTTATTTATTATTATTTCTCACCACAAACAATTAAGGACTTATTATCTATATGTTGCACAACATTTTAACAATATTATTTGTGGGTGGTGCCTGTACTAAGTGTCAAACCTGTATTACAAATCACCAGGACCCTTACTTCGAACAGTACAAATTATACAGATGAAAACCTTCACAAAAAAGGTGATGGTGAGTTTATAAAAAAAAAATTCAGATACAGCGCGTATACAAAATAAATAGCTTTCGATATTTATAACTTTAAAAGAAAAACAAATTATATTGCTAGGGTAAATAAGAATGCATTAAAATATAAGTAAAAAAGTGTAAATACTTAATGCAATCGAACGTTCAATAAAAATATTCAATTCAAAGGTGACGTAGATGGCAGCACGGGCGGCTGGACGTGTAGCGCGCGACATTGGATTAATAAATCAAAACATGAAAAGTTGAAATAATTAATTCAATAGTATTTTATGCGATATCTTCGAAATTATCTTTACTATCTTTTATTAATATTATAAATGTGAAAGTAAGTTGTTTTTTTTGTTACTTTTTTTTATACCACCAATGTGACAAACAAGCATGTAACCCGTCTGATAGTAATGTGTCACTGTAGCATTGGATATTTGTTATTGGGCCAATATACGTATAGATATTGCAACTACAATAAATAGATATTACTATATATTGCCCATCCTTAGTGTGAAAAAATAGAAAATATTCGAACCAATGTTCTTATGAATACAAATGTTGGTACTGTACGAGGATCGAACCCGGAACCATAAGAAAATGAGGCGGCGCGTGTTGAACCGTTACATTATCAAGGTCGTTGAAAACGTATTTACATTTTATTATTTATCAATAAGTATTAACTATTGTATTATACGCGGCAAACGTGATACGTAATTTCGCTCGTCACTATCAAGTCAGGTTGGCCGAGTGGTCTAAGGCGCCAGATTTAAGCTCTGGTTCCCGAGAGGGAGCGTGGGTTCGAACCCCACACCTGACAGACTTTTTTCGTCTTTTTTGTTATTTTTAAATGTTTTTCTTTGACTTTATCTTCTTTTAGTTTTTTTTTAAATATTTTTTTAATAGATGTAATTTTTTTTCTTACATATTTTTAATCTGTATAAAGTGCTTGAAATACTATACTATTAATAACTGGTGAAAATAAGTTATTTACATAAATAATTAATATATAATTTTAATTTCATTAATTTTTTTGTTTACATAGAATCGTATATGGTTTTTGCATTCCTATGAATAAGTACCTATATTTATGAGAAATAATTACTTACGTCATAAAATAAATATGTACCTACTCATATTGTGTATACTAAACTTTATTGAGGCTTTACATCATATCTATTTTAATATATTATTATTAACGTTCAAATAGTATAAAACATAGTCGCCGTCTGCTTTTACGCTTGCCTTTAAACCACGCCATGACTTTTACGAGATTTACTGTCATTTTAATATTATTGTACTAAAGTTTTGTACATACAAAGCATTCCTAACAAAAGTCGTTTGCTTGGGTACCTCTGTCTTATTCGGGTTTCAACCGTAAAGCAGTTGTGTTTGCATGGCTGTGTTTCGGTTTGAAAGGTGCGATATGACAGTAAATTTACAGGGTACAGAGGAATAACACCTGAGTCCTCAGGAATGGCAACGTATGGGAGGTATCATGGGCGAAACAGTATACTCTGTTATGTCCACGGTACTGCTCATGTCTATAGGCGAAGATTACCACTTTCCATCAGGTGAGCCGTCAGCTTGTTTGCCATTCTAAGTTGTATAAAAAAAAATAGATACAGTTTGATTGATAAGCGATATGAAGTGGCAATAGGTTGGTTGCATAGTTTAAAGTAACGACAGCGGGGAAGAAATGTTCTTGAGTGGCGACCCCGAACGATAGAGCGACGATCCCAAATGGATGAATGAATGCAGATGGCATGAGACCGTTTCTGTTACTGTCTTTTGGGAGGTTCCTAATTAGCTGTGAATAGTTGACGGCTGATATGATGGAAGAGATCGCTCTTAGCGATGACGTCGCCCATTGTTTTCTCATTGTGATTATTTCTTGTAATTGTTTATATTTATAATAAGTTCACTATTGTAATCTTTTGGAGGAAACAATAAAGAGTATCTATCTATCTATCTATGACTTTTAGTAATATGACAAAGGTCATAGTTGGTTTGTTTGTTTTTTTTTTTATATACACAGAAAGGATTCGTGTTTTTTTTTATTTAGTACTACTGAAACGCCCCGAATTCGCACGGGTAGATGAAAAATAATATATATAGCCCATGTCACGCCCTCATTTTGTATATATATATATATATGTGTAATAATTTCCAAAATCGATTCAGCTGTTTATGAGTTTATCCATTACAGATGGAGTTTTTTCCAAGAGACTACAATATAGGGTTTTTCAAAAAAAGGGGTAAAGAGGTGCCTTCAGGGTCGGCAACGCGCGTATAATGCCCTATGTGTTGCAGGCGATCATAGACAGTAACCGCTTACCGTCAGGTGGGTCGTATGCTTGTTTGCCATCTCGGTGGTATAAAAAAATAATATATAAACAAAAGAATTACATCTTTCCCCAATTAGTCCTTTATACTGTGATACCTGTATAGATAGGACCAATACGAGAGTTAAACCCTTTCAAAATTAGTATAGGATAGGTGAACACGTTGTCGAGTAATTAAAGGATATAAAAAAAAAAAATGAATTCTTTTAGTTTTTTAAGTGGATTATTTAAAATGAAATAAGAACATATAATATTATTTTCCCGCCAAAATTGTTTACAACAAAATAACTTGAGATTAATATGGGTTTATGGACGGGGAAAATTAATTATAATCATTTAAAATAAAATAATACCAGAGGGAGACTCTACAGAAGTCGTGCTTGGGTACCTCTGTCCCATTCGTGTATCGGTCGTGAAACATTTGTGTTTGTATGACTATGTTACGGTTTGAAGGGTGGGCATATGGCATAACACCTTAATCCTCAGGAATGGCAACGCATGAAGTATATCGTGGACGACACAGTATATTATAATACTGTTTATGTCTATAGACGACGGTTACCACTTTACATCTGATGGGCCGTCAGCTTGTTTGACATTTTAAGATGCATATTTTTTTCCATTTTATGTACATTATTTCATGCCAGACTTGTTAAATAGGTATGTGAACAAAAATTTGGCAGGTGTGCAAAAGAAGCGGCGACACAAGTCTTATTGTCTATGGTTTTATCATAGATAAATCAATATGCTATAGTTCTAGTTGTGCCGCAAACTGTATAAATATCACAATATTAAATTAAATACAATAAAGTAGGTATATCATCGATACTATCCTTAACCACTGTCTCACGTCGTAGAAATCTTCAGATGCTCTCTTTAATTAATTTATTTAAATAACTTTATTGGAAAAATAAAATATGGTACAAAAGGCGGACTTCATGGTAGTAGTATTTCTCTACCAGTCAACCTTTGGGACGAACAGTGAATCACGAACGCGGTGCTGCATTGTTGGCATAGGTAATAAATATTCTATGTATTTGATATGTATTTTGTACAGAGTTGCATCTCTTTTAATAAAAAATATTTGTTCGAAATCTATGCAATCAGTTAATAAATATTGAAAATGTTTACTCTATAAATCAGATCTATGTTTTATGATATCTATCGATATCAATATTTTGAATTACATATTAGTTTTTAATATTATTATTTACTAATTACAACGAATTTTTATTTATTTTACTTTGTTGATACTTTTAGGAGGTTACATGAAATTGTTTTCTAGTCTCGTCAATATAAGGGAAGTGCCGACTCTTAAATGACGTAGTAATTTATAGATTAAGGATAATACCTGCGCTTTGTATGTAGTGGTAACTTGTTCTGTGGTACTTACTTTCAACAGTTCTCTAAAGTATGGACTACAGGCAGAGAGCACGACGCGGTGGGCTTTAAGACTCTTCCCATCACACGCCAGCGTTACATCCACGAAGTCTTCATCATCTCGAAGGTTCTCGAATGCGCTTGTTATGCTGCTTTGATAGTTGTTCCATCGCAGACAGAAATGTTGGTTGTCCGCCATTGTTTGTGTTTTTTTTTCTGCTCAGGTTATGGAATCATGTGTCCGTTGTGAGGATCTGTGGAAGAAAAGTTTGAATTAGTTTGATATATTTATAAAAATTGTACGTATTAGATTAAATATTTTTTTAAGCAGTAGTCGGAATGAATGAATTCATGACTTTATAAAAAAATCTTTTGCACAATAAAAAAAAAAAAACGGGTCACAGCGATAAACGTATGCAGTAGGTAGGTAATGCGTGTCTGCATTACTTGTTTATTACGGCCGAGTGAATTATTTATTTGGCCTATTTTTTTTTAATATATTTTAATATATTGTGACGGTATCAGCTGTGATGATAAATGAGTTCAATTTCTATCTATCTAGTGAGAACTAACCTCTTGCATTTTGTAGGTCATATATTGTCTGTTGTAATAGTGTACAGCTGTGTCTCAAGTTTTTGAGTTGTGCTAAGTCCATAGATAAAATAATAGACTTTTTATCTTTTTTTTTATTATTTTATTAGGCACGAGCAGTCTTTCCAAATCACTTCAAATATTAAATCAAACTTCAAATATTAAATATTTTATTTATTTAATTGCTGCCATTACATTATGTGAATAATATTTGCCTATTACTACGTCGTATGTCGTCAGTATGGCGTCTCGACATGACGTTTTCAGTTTTTCTTCTTTACATTGACGTATTTTACTGTACTGTCTTTTCCTAGTTACTTTTATATAGATATTTGTACGCTCCAAAAAAGACTTAGATTGTGATAAAATAAAAAAAAAATATAAATTATATATACATAAGTACCTAATATTGATTAGTACTATCAGAAGGGGTCATTTTGAAATAAATGCCAATAGATCGATATCGGAACGGAGACGTTTTGGAAGTATATTAGAAGACAGATAAGAAGTTGTTGCACAAAAAAAAAGTTAGTTAACAATTGTGAGATAAAACCCTATCTATTGCAAAAAGAATTATGAAAATCGATTCATAATGGTGAAGATAGCACGTAAAATACATACAAAAAAAGAAAATTATCACAATTGAAAACCTGCTCCTTTGGTAATTCAAGGTAGGCAGTTAGAAAACAAATATTGAAACCTTTTGTTTTTTTTTAATACAACTTTCCTTTCTACCTAATTAGGTTCAGGAATATACTTCAGAAGTTTAATTTTATGAAAGAATTCTCAGGTTTTCCGCGTTCGAATTTTGTATCTGGAAATTCTTTAGTTTATTAACTTAGAAAAAGTTCCAACCTCACGTTTGCCGATGCGTAGTGATTCTAAGAAACGTTTACGTGCTAACGCTTTTAGGTCTTCATTGTCCTTGACTAAACTTGTTTCATGGTGAAAAAACCTATGTACACGAGAATTATCTTCGAAATTTGATGCCAACAAATAAAAAATAATAAATTTGTATTCCGTTTTTTACTAAAATGATATCTAAAACCGGAAATACGTCAAATCGTTTGTATTTTGTGTAGTAAATTGTCTTTTATGATTTTTGTATCTTTTTGCAATGGATGAGAATTACAAAATTGACAAAATATGTTTTATTTCCAATTTAGTCCTGACTGAAGTACTGTTTTTCACTGTGAAGTAAATTGTCTTTTGCATTCACATGATTCTGAGTTCTAAATTCAAATTTCTATTTCAAATGTCACGTGGGTTTTTGGTGCGTTCTATAAGTTTTGAAATAAGAATAGCGGAATTATTAACCCATAGATTAAGAATAGTGTCTGTTGGATTCTCTTTCTAAGTATTAATCAACATTTTACGGTGTAGTCGCTTGTCAATCGACTTCAAAATGAATAAAATTCTCAGTTCGGTTGTAATTTTTACGTTTGTTACCTCATAACTCCGTTAGTCGTAAACCGATTTTGAACATTCTTTTTTCACTTGAAATTGATTAAGTAGTTTAGTTTTTAAATAAAAATAACTGTTTTTTTCTCACAATTAAAGTCGGTGTTTTTTGTGGAACACAATTTAACAATTTTTTTTATATATTTTAATATTTGCGTCTTTTGCTCTGGTATGAGAGAATTAACATAACACTTACGCCTTTACTACACAGAGAATTAATTATTAATAATTTGTAACAATGTAACAATTGTATAATTATTTAAATAGGTTGAACCTTATTACTAAGTGTTTACGCAAGTCTGGTCTGGTTCGTAGGATATCCGTGCCTTGACCCACTTGTCAACAATGTGACCTTTCGGACTAGCTGCGTCTCCTCGTTTCTCTTATTTCTAGTCTTTTTTAATCGACTTTCTCGATACGTTTTATTTTTTTTTATGGTTATGAGCTACTTGTCAACAGTGTGACCTTTCGAACTAGCTGCGTGTCCCTGTTTTTCTTATTTCCTTAGTCTCTTTTTAAACAACTTTTTTTAATGTTTGATTTTTTATAATTATGAGATTACGTTCTCAGTTATAAAACGATTTTTATAATTCTTTTTACGATCGACAGAGTTTGTTTCTTTGCGCACGATTTTTTTTTTGTTTTTGTAGACATTCAGGAAAGACAGGAATTTCGTTAGCGCAGGCGGGGTTACCACACCATTTTCACTCATCAAAAAAAAGTACGATTGTTTCGAAGGGGAAGTCGACAATTGTAGTATATTGTTAGTTGTAAGTATATTGCTAACAATGGGACTAATAGTCCGCATTACTAACAACCCCTTTCCCCCCTTAATCAAAGTCAGTTCATATGGCAAAAAAAAAACTTCGAGCGATATTGAGCACCTACTTCTTTCTCAACCGCAATTTACGTAAGAAATATTTGTAAATAAATTAGATAATCCTCTCGTGAAAATGCTTGCCTAGATAGACTAGATCATTATTAGTAATTAAGTATTAACATAGTTTAAGTACACATATTAACAAAAATGGACGCAAGTTGTCTAAAATAAATTAATAAATGAAAAGAAATAATAAAAATGTCTCGGTTCACAGTTGTAAATAAAAAAAAAAACTGTTAATTTACAGCAACCTGTTGTGATAGTGGGACCTTCCGCCCGCACAGTAACCTGATTACCTATCATTGTGTCCAACTAATATGGATGTCACTGTGACTTATTGTCTACGATTGTTTGAAAACTTCCACGCGTCGCCAAGTTACGTTTGCAGCTGTGAATACGCGCGATCGCCTTCAAACTGTCGACCCGAGATAGAAATTCGGCCGTTCGTGGGCGCAACGGCGCGCTGGTGAAATTCAATGCGAGAAATGCACTAGTCGGAACTATGTCGGGTAGAAATTGTGAGAAAAACAATGGTCTGCGTATTGAGATTTTATATTTATAACCTACGTTGGTGTTACATAATTTACTGATTTATGTATATCATTAAATTGTACTTGTGTTGGTGACGTCGTTTACTCGATATGTTTTTGTATCTTTATAGGGAAATGAGATACAACGGTAGTAAAGAAGAATCTGCCATTGATCCGAATACTTATGGCTTATAAAAGGCGAGAATTAAGGCGATTCTTTATGTAAAATATGATGATTTACCTGAAATATTATAACACACAATTGGCCGTGTGGTCCCGGCATAGAATAGGCCACCCCTTCCTTTCCTGTGGGTGTCGGGACAGAGAGGATTAAGCGTCAGCGTCCCTCTTAAAACACCTCTAAAGCCAGTAAAATTTGTGTTTTAACTCTATACACAAGATTTAAGTAGTTATTTTCTCAAATATCTCGAAAATCTTTTTTTTTTTACAACACAGGCAAAGGCAACAAAAAACAAAAGCATTGCAGGGGTGCTGCCGGCCTTTTAAAAAGGAATATACTCTTTTCTTGAAGGTTATGATGTCGTATCGGTTCGGAAATACTGCTGCTGGAAGTTGATTCCAAAGTATGGTTGTGCGTGGAAGAGAGTGCTTTGAAAAGCGCACGGTGGAAGACCGCCACTCTTCGATATGGTTGGGATGAAACTTGATCTAGTCATAAATTCGATTACAATGATTTTTAGAATCTTTGTCTGTTTCTCTGTAAGTTTGTACACGCTAATCTCAGAAACAGCTTAACCGATTTGAATGCGGTTTTCACTAATACGTTACAGTTTGCTTTTTTTTTTATTCAATTTAGAATAGTAAACAAGCTAACGATCCACCTGATGGAAAGTGGTAACCGTCGCCTATAGACATATGATGCGTAAGTATCTTTGGCTTCAGGAATGGCAACACAATAAATACCATTCATTTATATAGGCAACGGTTACCATTTTGCAACTGGCAGTCGGCTATTTTGTCATAGTCGAGTTTAATAAAAAAAAAAATCTAATAACCAGGTAATTTGAGCCAAAAAAATTAACTTGCTTAACGTAGGTATGTTTTTTTATCAGGAAGTCATATATGCAGCCGTACGTTGTTTAAGATAATGCACCTAATACCGCACTAATCATAGTTTTCTAACTTCTTATCATTGATAACATATCATTGTATATCGTATCGCCGCGCCGCGCCGCGCCGCGCGCGCGGGCGTAACTCTAAAATATTATATAATTCCATTTTATTTTGATAGCAAAACGATATCCGCACTAAGTGCATTCGGAATAGAGTACCTTTTTGTTTTGCATATGCACTTGTCCCGAATTTCTGAATGGAAATAAAAAAAATGAACGAATTTTTATTTTTAGCATACGTTGTCAACAATTTACCACTTCCGTTTAAAATGGTTATTTTATTTGTACGTTTGAATAGAAATATGTGTGTATGGATAAATAAGCCTTTAACTGTCCCCTAGTTGTAGTGCCAGTAGTTGCCACGCTTGGCAAGCGAATTGGCAACCGCAGTTAGGCTTTGGAGATGTTTTAAGAGTCCCTAATTTCCAGTCGGGGCGTATGCCCCAGTATATATCTAATAACAAGAAATTACATAGAAGGAATGATAAAATAAAAACTGTAAATCATACGGTTGCCTCCTTTCTTCTTATGTAAATATAATTAGTAAAAAAAGGACGAAAGATACACCATCAGTTGTCATTTCAAGCAAGTCAATTGATAGCAGGCTAGTGTATAGAAAATGTTTGATATAACAGTTATTTGTCAATGACAAATTTTAC